ATTAGGTATACAACATACCAAAGATTAGATACACAACATACAGAAGAAAATGAACCTAGTAGCTTAGTCTTCAACAAACCCAAAGGCTACAGCTACTAGGGGAAAGATTTAACTATGACAAAAACTGCTGGGAAAACTGGACAGCAGCCTGACAGAAATTAGGTTTTGACCAGTACCTCACATTATATACCAACGTAAGCTTCAAATGGATACATGACTTAGCTATAAAAGGTCACATTATAAACAATTAGAGAAGCAGACAAGAAATTATCTTTTCAGATCTAGGGACAGGGAAAAGTTAATAAATAAACAAGGAGGGGGCAGCAAGGTGGTGCAGTGGATAGAGCACCGGCTTTGGAGTCAGGAGGACTTGAGTTCATATCCTGCCTCATGACACATGACACTTACTAGCTGTGTGACTCTGGGCAAGTCACTTAACTCCAATTGCCTCACCAAAAATATTTAAAAATAAATAAATAAACAAGGAATAGAGAGGATCATGGAAGATAAAATGGACAATTTTAATTATATAAAATTTTAAAAGTTTTTGTACAAACAAATCCAATGCAGCTTAGATTAGAAGGGAAACAGTTAACTGGGAAAAAAAATTTATAGCATTTCTCTGATAAATGTCTCATTTCCAAGATATATAAGGAATTAATTCATATTTATAAGAATAAGAGCCAGTTCCCAATTGGTAAATGGTCAACTAATATGAACAGGCAGCTTTCAAGGATAGAAATTCAAGCTATCTATAGTCATATTAAAAAAAAAACCCAACACTACTAATCACTAACAGAGAAATGCAAATTGAAAGAGTTCTGTTTCATCTTATACACATAAGATTGGCAAAGGTAACAAAAAAGGAAAGCGAGGGGCTTCAGGAAAATAGGTACATTGGTATATTCTCGGTGGAGTTGGGAAGTGGTCCATCTATTCTAGAAAGCAATTAGGAATTATGCCCCCAAAGTTACTAAACTGTGCATGCCCTTTGACACAACTATGCCACTACTATGCTTTTACCTAAAAAGATCCAAAAAAAAAAAAAAAGAAAAGGTCCTATATGTACAAAAATAGTTATAGTAGATCTTTTTGTAGTAGCAAAAAACTATATGCTAAGGGGGCGGAGGGTGGAACCTGAATTGAGAAATGGTTCAACAAATTATGGTACATTAATATAATGGAATATTATTGTCCTATAAGATGTGAAGAGAGAGTTTCTGAAAAATCTGGGAAGATTTATGTGAACTGATTCAGGTTAAAGCAAGCAGAACCAGAAGAATAATTTATACTCTAACATCAACATTATAAAATAAATAATTCCAAAAGATTCAGAACTCTTATCAATGCAATGATCAGGAATTAAACTAGAGGATTGATGATGAAAAATGCTGCCCACCCCAAGACAGAGTGATAGACTGATATGAAGAATGAGAAATGCATTTTTGGATATGGCCAATGTTGGAATTTGTTTTGCTTGATTAAGATTATATGACACTGGGTTGTTGTTGTTGTTTTTCTTTTTCTTTTTCTTTTTCCGGTGGTAGCGGGAAGAGGTAGGAGGGAGAAAAAATAAGTGCATGACAATTAAAAAAAAACAACTTAAAATGGTCATCTAGACTTTGCCTAAAGTCGGCCAGTGGAGGGCAGCAATTCCACTTTGGGATAGCTCTGATTCTAACACCATGATTTTTCAGAACAGGAAGCTGTAACCCAAGGGTAAGGGAATAATTTCCCCTAGGTCACTTAGTGAATGAAGCCTAGAGCCAGAACCAAAAGTAGAACCCAGGTCTCTCAACTCCCAAACTGAACCTCACCCTCTGCTCTGTGTGTGTGTGTGTGTGTGTGTGTGTGTGTGTGTGTGTGTGTGAGAGAGAGAGAGAGAGAGAGACAGAGAGAGAGAGACAGAGACAGAGACAGAGACAGAGACAGAGACAGAGACACAGACACAGACAGAGACAAAGAGAGAAAGAAGTGGGGAAAGGGACAAGAGACAGAGATAGAAGCAAGAACAGAAAGAGACAAACAGAAACAGAGACAGACAGATAGAGGACCTAGGTTCAAATCTTGCCTCTACAAATTACAACTTTGGACAAGTCATTTAACCACTCTGGGCCTCAGTTTCCTCATCTGTAAGAGGCAGGACTAGATGACCTCTAAGTTTCCTTTCTCTAAATCTATGATCCTATATGACTTTCTCAATAACTCAGAGGAAAGACATTTACAAAGTGCTTTCAGCAGCTGGATGGTGCAGTGTTGAAAGTTGAACCTATAATTAGGAAGACCACAGTTTAAATTTAGCCTCAAACACTACCACCTTTGTAACCCTGGGCAAATCACTTAATTGCTGTCTGCCTCAGTTTCTTCATCTGTAAAATGACAATAATAATAGTATTTAATTTCCCTGGTTGTGGTCAGGACAAAATAAGATAGTGTTTGTAAAGTCTTTGCGAACCTTTATATAAATGCTATTATTATTTTGGGAAGCAGTGTGGTAAGGGGGAAAGGTCACTGACTCAGGGGTCAGAAGACCTTTCAAATCACATCTCTGATGCTCATTCCCTTTATCACCTATTGTTTTATCTCTCTTTGTCTCAGTTCTCTCATTTGTAAAAGAAGAGGGTTTAAACAGCTAGCCTCTGAGGTCCAGTCCTGCTCTAGACCTAAGGTCCTATTTTGACAAAGCCCTTGACACACCTTATCTCTAATCCTCATACCAACCCCATGAAATAAGTACCAATGTTACCATTATCCCATTTTACAGATAATGAAACTGACTTTCAGAGAAGTTGAATAATTTGCCTGTGATCACACAGTTAGCTGAGTATTCTAGATGAGATTCAAATGAAGCCCTCCTGAATCCAACTCTAGCATTTTTTTCCACAACACTGTGTTGTGTTTCTAGAGACTGAGGACTACAGAACCACAGGAAAAGGAGACATGGTAGAGCTTTAGCCCTAGGGGAAAAAACTCTCTAATCCCAACATCCCTATCTACAAAATGAGTGGAGCCAATCAGATAATTTCTAAAGTTTCTTCCAGCTCTGACATTCTGCTTTACGGTCCAGAATTAGTGTCAGAAAGGAAGGGATCTCCAAAGTCATCTAGTCCAACTCCTATGTGAAGACAGATGCCCTCGCCAACATGTAACTTGCATCCAAGCTCTGCTTGATGGCTCCAGTAGTCTGTGTTTGAAGTTTTAATGCCCCTTCCAGCTTCAACCACAATTCTAAGGTCTCTTCCAAGTGTGACATTCTGTTGAGGGAAGAGACTACTCCTTCCTAGGGTTTATAATTGAGAGTAAACACAAGCATAGTCTGACGTTAACTCTAGATTTTTGGAAAGCAGGTTTCAAAAGATTCAGGGGAAGATAGTTAGGCTCTCCCATGGACTAAAATGGTTCAAAAGAGATCGGTCCAGGAGGAATGGGAAATGCACAATAATAAAATTTTATAGAAGCAAAAAGGAAAATATCCAATTAGGAGGGGGAAAAAATGGGGTTTGCCTGAAGACACCTATGTGGCTGCACAGAGAACTCACAAACTAACTTGGGTCACTTTTTTGAATTAAAAATACTCTTTCTCTCCCTCCCACCCTCACCCACATTTGAATAACAAAAACAAAATCCCTGTTACAAGCATGTATAGTCAAGCCAAACAAATTTCTTCACTGACCACATTAAAAAAAAAATCTGCACTCCAAGTATTTCATCTTTCCTTCAGGAAAAGGGTAACATTTCATGCTGAGTCCTCCAGAAATATGGTTGGTCATTTTGCTGATCAGAGTTCCTAAGTCTTTCAAAGTTATTTGTGTATACAACATTGTTGTCATTGTATAAATTGTTTTCCTGATTCTGCCCACTTTACTATGCATCCGTTCACACAAGTCTTCCCAGAAATCTCCAAAACCATCTCCTTCATCATTTCTTACAGCACAATAGCATTCCATCGCATTTATATACTATAACTTGTTCAACCATTCCCCAATGGATGGGCCCTCCCTCAGTTTCCAGTTCTTTTCCACTGTGAAAGGAACTGCTATAAACATGTTTGTACATCTTTAGCTAGACACACTCGTGAGGTCTGAACTTCATAGGTGCTGTTTGCTGCTGAACTCGCATCTTTCTTGGTACACAACACAGCGCTGTGACTGCTTCATATCCTGGAATGCCACTGCTAGGCCCAGGTACCCTCTTCAGTCCGCCCTAGATAAGTGACCCAGAATGGAGTAGTGAACATCTCACTGTACCCCATCCCAGTTCAGACCCCTCTCTGCTCCATCTGGGACCTTTTCTTGCCATGGTGCACAACCCACCCCTGGGCTAGAATGTCCCTCACTGCATACTCCTGGCCAAAACCCATTGCCAATGTCTTCAGACCTCTCTATCTGTCCCTCTATAGACTTGGGCTAAAAAAATGACTCTCTGATTTTTTTTTTCTTGGGTTTTCCAATCAGTATTTGACCTGGTTTGTTTTCTAGATCTGTTTGAAGGAGTTGCTCTCTGCACGTCTTCCTGCTTCTCCATCATCTTGGCTCTGCCTGCCACTGGTGCTTTCAACAGCTAATATCTCATTTTACCTTAATCCTAATATTCTGTAGTATAGGTACAGTAGGCATCATGCCCATATCACAGAAGTGAAAACTGAGGCTTAGAGAGGACTTTTCTAATGTCATAAAGTTATTTGGGAGGGGAACCAGGTTTAGAGCTGAGATTTTCTGACTTCCAGACCAATGCTCTTATCCCCACTTTAGAGAGAAATATAAATGTACGGAAGACAGAGGCGTGATCAGGTAATAGAACATAAATACAAGTATATGTTATTGCTGTTGTTCAGTCATGTCTGACTCTTTGTGATCCCATCTGGGGTTCTCTTGGCAAAGATACTGGAGGGGTTTGCCATTTCCTTCTCCAGGTCATGTTACAGACGAGGAAACTGAGGCAAACAGGGTGAAGTGACTTGCCCAGGGTCACACACTAGTATCTGAGGCTAGATTTGAACTCCGGAAAATGACTCATCCTGACTCCAAGCTATCCACTCTATCTACTACACCACCTACCTGCTCCAAGATATGTCATGGTCCTACCAAGAAAAAAGCGAATGTTAGGAGTAGTAAAGCTAAGAAATAGCTGAGGCTAGTGAGGAAAGCTAAGGACCACAAAGAAAAGGGGTTTATTTTTGTTTTTAGCAACATTGAGAAGAAAATGAAGATCAAAGGATAGTCTGCATAAGTTCTGAGAATCCTTATCTCAGCTCCCACTCTCACAGATGGGACTTAGGTTCTGGAGGAAGGCTATATATTTCTCTAAAGGTTATAGGTTGACCCTGAGGAGTCAGGGGTGATATTTTAATGCTGTCACTTTTAGCCCCCACTGGCGTATTTTCCCTCAAGATTATCGGCTGAATCAGTCTAGTCAGCCAGCTTTAAGTACCTTTTAGAGAGGAACATTTACCAAGATCATCCAGTTTAACAACAGTTGGTACAAAACATCCCCCGCCAGAAGTCTGTGACATGCCCTCACATATGTACATATAGAGTCCAGGGGAAAGTGGCCCAGGCTCAGAGAGTACCTGTGGCAAAGGGGTAACTCCTAGCTCCTGATGCTGGAAATCATTCTCCCATTCATGGAGGTGCTCAAGAAGTTCCTCTTAGGCATGATGTCACTTCTTTACTAGGCAACTTGTGGAGCCTTAAAATGATTCTATGTTCAGTGTGTCTTTTGCTCCCAGTGCAAACAATGTCATCAGCTGGTCCAAAGATGTTCCTAGGACACCAACAGGAAGTTCACCATTCTCCAGACCATTTGAAGCTTGCAGGGTCCTCCTACAGTCAAAGGAGTGAGACCTCGTTAGAATGCAAAAACTAAGGCTTCTCCTTCCCACTCCCACTCCCAAGTTCATTCCTTCACAGGAAGATTAGCTAGAATACCACAATGGCTCCACTTTCTTTACCTCTTGGCTTGTACTCCCTGGAACTTGAAGTCCTACCTAGGTAACTCTTTTTGTGGTTACAAAGACCTGGAAATTGAAGGGATGCCCATCAATTGGGGAATGGTTGAACAAGTCATAATATATGATTGTGATGGAATACTATTGTGCTATAAGAAATGATGAACAGGATGCTCTCAGAAAAACCTGGACAGACTTATATAAACTGATGCAAAGTGAAGTGAGCAGAACCAGGAGAACATCGTACATAGTAACAGCAACATTGTCACAATGATAAACTGTGAAAGACTTAGCTACTCTGAACAATAATCACCTAAGGCAATTCCAAAGGACTCATGATAAAAAATGCTACCCACCTCCAGAAAGAGAACTGGTGAACTCTGAGTGCAGATTGAAATATCATTTTTTTACTTTTTAAATTTTTCTTTTTTTTACAACATGGATAATATGGAAATATGTTTTGCATGACTTCACATACATAATTGACATCATATTGCTGGACTAGGAGAACATTGTACACAGTAACAGCAACATTGTATAATGATCAACTATGAATGACTTAGCTATTCTCAGCAATACAATGATCCAAGACAATTCCAAAGGACTCATGAGAAAAAATGCTATCCACATCCCAGAGAAAGAACTGATAGAATCTGAATGCAGATCAAAGCATATTCTTTTCACTTTCTTTATTTTTTCATGGTTTTTCTTTTCTTTTGATCTTCTTTTACAACATGACTAATATGGAAATATGTTTTACATGATTGTAGATAGATAGATAGATAGATAGATAGACAGATAGATAGATACATAGATATGTATATGTATGTATGTGTGTGTACGTGTATATATATAAACCTATCTCAAATTGCTTACCATCTTAGGGATGGGGAAGGTGAAGGAGGAAGGGAAAAAAATTGGAACCTAAAATTTTTTTAAGTGAAAGTTATAATTTGTCTATACATGTAAGTGGAAAAAAGAAAATACTATTAAAAAGTTAAAAAATAAAAACTAAAAACAATATACTGCTTGCCTCCTCAATGGGTGGGGAAAGGGGAGAAGGGAGAGAGAATTCAAAACTAAAAAAATGTTTTAATCAATGCCATAAATAAGTTTATTTAAAAGAAAAAGAAATCCTAGCTAACTCCATGTTTTTATACAGGATCCACAGGGTATAAAGAAATCTCTTAACATTAATACATTGTTGTTGGAGTTGTGAAATGATTCAACCATTTGGGAGACCAATTTGGAACTATGCCCAAAGGGCTATAAAATTGTGCATACCCTTTGACCCAGAAATACCACTTCTAAGTCTGTATCCCAAAGAGATCATAAAAATGGGAAAAGGACCCATGTGTACAAAAATATTTATAGCAGCTCTTTTTGTGGTAGTAAAGAACTGGAAACTGAAGTTATGCCCATCAATTGCAGAATGGCCAAATAAGTTGTAACATATGAATGTAAAGAAATACTATTGTGCTATAAAAAATGATGAGCAGGCAGACATCCAAAAAACTTGGAAAGACTTACATGAACTGATGCAGAGTGAAATGAGCAGAACCAGGAGAACACGGTACACAGTAACAGCCACATCATGGGATGACTGACTTTGATAGACTTGACCCTTCACAGCAATGCAAGAATCTAAGACAACTCCAAAAGATTCTTGATAGAAATTGCTATCCACACCCAGAGAAAGAACTATGGAGTCTGAATGCAGATCAAAGCATACTCCTTTTCCTTGTTGTTTTATTTTATTGCTTTATTCTCATGGTTCCTTCCATTATTTCTAATTTTCTTTACATCATGACTAATGGGAAAATATGCTTAACATGAATGTATATGTAGAACCTATGTCAGATTGTACGCCATTTTGTGGGGGGAAGAAGCAGGAGGGGGCAAAATTTAAAACTCAAAATCTTATGGAAGTGAATGTTGAAAACTAAGAATAAATAAATTAATTATTTAAGAAAAAAAAAAGAAATCTCTTAGCCAATTGGAACAGACTTCCTTCTGGAGTTGTTTTGCTTCATCAAATGGCTTTCAACGACTTTACATTTAACCTAAAGTCTATGATTGATGGATTGATATGGGTTCTCATTGAGTTTAAGGCTAAGTCTGGGGATAGAGTGTTTTCAACTCCACCCTTACAAAAGAAAAGATAGTACCTTTGCTTGGGATAGAAAGGACTAACAACTGAGAAAAAAAAAAGATCAGCTTGATTTTTCTTTTCCTTCCATTTGTTTTCTTTGCCAAGAAGAATGACCTTTGCATGGTAAACAGCAGAACAAAAATGGCTGCAGGCTAAGTAGCATGGCTTACCTAAGTAAGGAGATCTTAACAGACCACCTAGTTGTCTGTGATGAGTTCAAATCACTTGGTCCTTAATAAGTGCATCCTTAGGTGCTAAAATGACAGGAGAGTATGATTGATGAGCCATTTGCAGGGACATCTGAAAGATTATGGTAAAACAGAAGAGGTACAACAAAGTCAGAGAAAGAACCAATGTCTCAATTTTCAAAAAAGGGAAGAGAAAAGAGTCAGTCTTTGTGATAGAGATTCCTGGCAGAATCCTGGAATGGCTCCTTAAAGAGCTTGTTGGCAGACATCTAGAAAAGGAAGAAATAACTACTAAGAGCCTGGCTTCATCAAGGCAAGCCTCATTTCCTTTTTTGATGGGATTTCTAAGCTGGTAGATAAGGATAATGCTGTAGGTTTCTTTTAACATAAATTTTAGCAAAGCTTTTGATAAAATATCTCCTAAACCATTCTTGGGAATGATGTGGAAAATGGGCACCAAGCAATCACACAATTCATTTGGATGGCCAGACTCTAAGACTTATTGCTGGTTGATGCTAAGGTGACAAGTCTCCAGTGGAGAATGCCAAGGACTTGTGTTTGATTCTGTGCTGTTGAACAATGCTATCGATGACTTAGTTAAAGACATAGACAGTATGCTCACCAAATCTGGAGATCACACAAAGCTGGAAGGGAGAGGTAGCACGCTTGATGACAGTCAGGATCCCAAAAGATCTTGACAGACTGGAGCAGCAGGGCTGAACCTAATAAGATAAAATTCAATGATAAATATATAATTACAGAACCACAGAATTAGAGAGCTAGAAAGAACCTCAGCAACCATCTAACACAGCCCGCACATGAAAGAATCCCTATTATAACATACTTGGCCTCTGTTTCAAGACTTCCAATGAGGAGGAACCCACCATCTCTCAAAGCAAGACATTCCACTTTTGGACAACTCAAATTGAAGGGGCAGCTAGGTGGTGCGGTGTGTAGAGTACTGGGTTTGGAATCAGGAAGATTTGAGTTCAAATCCAGCCTCAGACACTAGCTGTGTGACCTTGGCCAAGCCACTTAACCCTGTTTGCCTCAGTTTCCTCATCTGTAAAATGATCTAGAGAAGGAAATGGTAAACCACTCCAGCATTTTTGCCAAGAAAACCACAAATGGAGTCACAAAGAGTCAGACACAACTGAAACAACCAAAAAACAATTGTTAGGGAATTTTTCCTAATACAGAGCTTAAATTTGCCTCTTCCCAATTTCCACTCACTGTTCTATCCTCTGGGGCCAAACAGAACAAGTCTAATTCCTCTTCCACGTGACAAAATACATAATAATTTAATTAATCATTTAATACTTAAAATACTTGAACACAGCTAGCTTCCTGGTTCCTCTCCACAGCCTTCTCTTCTCCAGGCTAACCACGTCCAGTTCCTTCCACAGATCTCCATTTATCATGGACTCAAGGACCTTCACCACCCTGGTTGCCCTCCTCTGGACATTCTCCAGGTTATCAATGTCTTTCCTAAATTGTGAGGCTCAGAACTGAACCCAATATTCAAGATAAGGTCTGTCAAGAGAAGAGTACAACAGGATTATTACCTCCCTATTCCTGGAAGCTATGCCCTTCCTAATGTAAATTGCATTAGCCTTTTTAGCTGCCACATCACCCTGCTGACCTACATGGAGTTTGCAGTTCACTAAAACCCCCAGATCCCTTCCAAATTAACTGTCATCTACCCATGATTCCCCATCTTAAATTTGTGGCCTTGAATATTTTGTGCCCACGTGTAAGCTACTGAATTTCATTTTATTAGATATGGTGCAGTGTTCAAGCCTGTTGAATAGCTGTCATTATTGGGGTACAAAGAAAACAACCTCACAAGTATAAGATGTGGAAAGGTTTGTCTAAAAAAAGAGCTGGGGGTTTCAGTGGACTGCAAGCACAATATGGTTCAGCAGGGTGTTGTGGCAGCTGAAAAAAGCTAATTCAGTCCTGGGGTACATTAAGAGGGGCAGAGCCTCCAGGAATAGGGAGTTGATAATCCCACTGTCCTCACCCCTCCTCAGATCTTGTCTGGGAGCATTGGGTTCAGTTCTGAGGACCACAGTTTGAGAACATTAGTAAGCCGGCAAGTGTCCAGAGGAAGACAACCAAGATGATGAAGGGCTTTAGACACTTGTCATATGAGGATCAATTGAAGAAATTCAGGAGGTTTAGCCTTGAGAAGAAAGGACGGGGGAAATATGACAGCTGGGCAGACGTTGCAAAGAGTTCAGTTTAAGCTCTAGGTCAGGAAGAGCTTCCTAACCATTAGAGCTGTCCATAAGTGGGTTGGGCTTCCTTTAATGGGGGTAGGCTTCATCTCCTCGGAGGTTTTCAAGCTCAGACTAGCTGATCACTTTCCAGTATGTTCTAGTGAGGATTCTTTTGCAAGCACTATTTGGATTAGGTGGCCGCTGACATCCCAATCCTCAAACTTTGTAGTTCTGTAAGTATATGATTGTTCTCCCAACCTGACCTAGCCATCTAGTGCCCCATTTCAGGGTGGCACCCCGATTTGGTCTCTACAAAGTCCTATCTTCCCATTCTCCCATCTGAATGAGCTTGGGTACCAAGCCCTGAGTCCCTTCTCTATCCTAAGGTGCTCCACCTCCCAGAGACCACAGGATTTAAAGCTGGAAGCAATCGCTGAGATCATCTAATATAGGGATAGGGTCAACCCATTCACTGCAAACTATAGTTTTAGGAAGTTGCCTGGGACCCTGAGAGGATAAAAGATTTGGCCATGGTCACACAACCAGTAGATGTCAGAAATGGACTTGAACTCAGGTCTTCCAATTCCAAGGCCAGCTTGCTGTCCTTTTAATAACACTGCCATTTAATATAACCTCCTTACTTTTAAAGATAAGGGAAATGAGGCTGAGAGGTTAAGTGACTTACCCAAGGTCATACAGTAAATAATAGAGCAGAGTAGAGCTATAGCTTAGATCACGGACTTTGTAGAGACAAAGTTGTTGGCTAAATGAATAGAAACTCCATAGTCAGAGCAGACCAGGGGAGAAGCAGAAGGGGCCCACTGTGGCTCAGGACACCCCTTGAATTGCATCTGTACAGAAGGCAAGTCCACAGTGTGGGATTCCAGGGCCAGAAAGAACAGAGGTCTCCAGGCCTAAGCAAGATTCTCTTTTCCTTCCCCTCCAACACATGCACAGAGGCCAAACTCAGATACCCTCTAGGGTGGGTGACCTATAGCAAAGGTCTAATGACTTTCCTGGGTCATCTGAGCCTGCCAATCACAGGGTGCCCCTCCAGCTCTACCTTTGCCCCACAGGGCCCAACGACCACTGAGCTAGCCAAGCCCAGTGATGTTTCAGAAACTCACTCTAGTCCAGAACCTTACTTGGGTGAATCATTTTCCCTGGATAGAGTATATCAGATTGAAGAGGAGGAACATGACCACAGAGAGACCGAAGGAAAAATACAAAGAGAACTAGCAGAAAACAGAGAGGGAAAGGGAGGGAAAAGAAAAGAGGGGAAGAGTCAGACAAAAACTTTTCTTAGGAATTGCCAGCAACCCTGACTCCCAGGTGCAGTGTGGAGGAGACCTATGCGTCCAGGAGGCTGTCCCAACATCCCCTCAAAACTTCTATCCTTAGAACCATTGTAGGGGGCGGGGGAGGGGCGGGGGGGGGTAGAAGAGTGCAGTTTCCATGAAAACATCCCGGTGCCAGGGCAAAGGGGGCGGAGTGGGAGGGGGAAACCTCAATCAGGAACTGAATCTAGTTGTTGTAATCTGTCTTTCCCGCTCTCGGGAAGGGTGAGGGGAGGGGGCAGGTCAGGTCGGAGGGGAGTGCAGCGTAGGAGGGATAATCCCACGGGACTCTACGTCCCTACTGTCCCATTTCCAAGGTAACCGCGGGGCTAGCTCGGACCAGAGTTTCAAGTTCGAATCCTATCACAGCTGTATGCTATGTAATTCCGGGAAACCCTCAACCCCACTCTCGGCCCCATTCTCCCTTCCAGTCGGTCCCTGAAAGGAGAATAGGAAAGGAGAATCTGGAAACTTCGACGCCAGTCTTCTCAGTGAACCCCCGAAAAGGAGCTCTCCACACCTTGCCCCATTTCTCTGGCTGTCCCAAGGATTAGAGGGAGAGTTAACTGAAGGCCTAAGGGCCAGCCTGGCCCGTAGCTGGGAGCTGGGAGCTGGGGGCGTTGGGGAGGGGAATCAACCCCTCCCACACTCCTATCCTCCCGATTGGCCAGCCCATGGGGCTCCGCCCTAACCCCTTGCTGTCCTTGGGCTGGGAGGAGGTGGGAGTGGGGAGGGTGTCCCAGGAGGGAGTCACTATAAGCTGGCAAAGCGCGCGAGGCTCTAGGGAGCTGAGTCTGGGGTCTAGCAGAGGTGAGTGCAGCGGGGGAGACGAAGGTGCAGAAGTACCCAACTGACCTGACAGCCGAGATGGAAGTCGGAGATCCCTCAGGGGACGCCGGGCAGGTACTAGATCCAACGTATACTCCGAGCGAGTCCCGGAGGGGCACGTCTTGGCAGAGCGTACCGTGGCAGTGCAGGGAGAGGAAGGATGGAATCTTAGGGAGCCTTGGGGAGCGGGGGGGGGGCGCGAGCGCCTGGGCAGAGGGCTTGGGGAACCTCCTTGGGAGGGGAGGCGGTATGGGTAGATGGCCCAGCCAACCGGCCCTTGGCCCACTTGGCTGACCCGGGAAACACAGTTGGGCCCCTGCCAAAGAAGAGGAGACCACTAAGCTAGTGCACCCAGCGAAGGGGAAGGGAGGAGATAAGGCAAAGATCAGAGCCCCAGTGATTCTTCCCCCCCCTCCCCAGGAAAGCCCCTCAAGGAACTAGCCCTTCCCCTCACCAGCCTCCCCCTAGTGCTTAAGGGCAGTGTGGTACAGTGGAAGGAGCCCTAGCCTGGGAGTAAGAGAACCCAGATACTTGCTACCTTTGTGAGCCCAACGTCCCTTAACCTTACTAAGCCTCAGTTTCCTCACTTGTAAAGTGGGGGGATGGAGGGAAGAATTGATTCAGAGGTCCCTTCTAGCTCTCAATGTATGATCTTTCTTCCCCTGTCCCCAAGCTCATCTACCTGCCTTCCACATTCCTTCCCCATCGACTTCCCCAGCCTGATCCCTTATCCCTCTGTCTCCTGGCCTGTCTCTAGTGATCTTTTCCATAGTCCCCTCGCTCCCCCTAGAACACCTCTTGGGGCAACTAGGTGGCACAGTGAATAGAGCACTGGCCCTGGAGTCAAGAGAACCAGAGTTCAAATCCAGCCTCAGACATTAGCTGTGTGACCCTGGGCAAGTCACTTAACCTTGATTGCCTCCCCCCCCAAAAAAAAAGTCTAGTACCCTCCTCTACCAGAGTCCAGGATTTGGAGTCAGAAGACCAGGGTTCAAATTATGATTCTGCTACTTTCCAGATGATGACCTTGGGCAAATCACAAGCTGTCAGAGCTGTGGTTTTTCATACATAAGATGATAAAGTTGGACTTGCTGCTCCCTGAGATTCCTTCCAGCAGTAAATCCTAGATCCAATAAACCTATTTCCTCTTGCCTCTTCCTGTTACCTTGCCTCACATCTGCTGACCTCTCTCCCCACCCTAGACTATCTTATCCAGACCTCCCATCTCCTCTCTCCCCTCTTGCCTCTTCCAATGTCCTCTCATTACTGGCATGGCTGGTTTGCTGAGCTAAGGGCCAAGGAGTAAGGGAGGTACAGTGCCCATGGACAGTTGTCCAGCTATCTGCTTCCAGTTTTCCTACTCACCAAGCAGCCACAAACTGCCTCTTGTCACTGAGTAGGCCTGATTCTTGGAAGCTCCAAGGCTACTGGATATCCTTTCCATTTCCTAGGGCTCTAAAAGAACTCTGGGCCAGTGGTCTCTGGGAAATACCTTGGGGTACCACTATCCAAGACATCACTCAATATTCTGTCCCAACCTTAGAAGACAGTAGGATACAATGGAGAGAGCCCTGGACTAGAAGTCAGTACCTCTGGGGTCAAGTCAACCCTTGCCCCCTGACTGGCTGTCAGTCTCTCTGGGCCTCACTCTCAACCTTTCCCATTCTATTTCATCCCCCACCTCTCCATTCCCAACAGAGAACTCATCCCAACCTCCAAGTCAAACCTTAGCATTTTTCCTCCTGGGTTCTATATGCAGTCTCTCTCACTCTAGTAAGAACAGACTGGGAGCTCTCTCTTTATGAGTTCAGCGCTCTGGGCCACCTTAGATAACATTTAATATGGAGCTTCCTCCAAATCCTTTTTTCAAATAAACAGGATCTAAAATTCAATTGACTAGCCCCATATCTTCCAAAGCATTTTCCTAGTCAGTCTCTATAAGCAGAGTAAAGATGATTAACCCCATTTTTTTAGAGGAGACCAAGACCCAGAAAGAAGGAGCTTACCCATTGTCGTGCACAGTGGGGCAGAGGCAGAGCTAAGACTAGGTCTCAGGGAATCTCTTGATTCCCAGCTGGGACTTCTTCAGGGACATGACTTGGACTTGACTGTGGAGTTTAAAGTTAAAAGGCAGGGGGTCCAGGAATGAGACTGTTCAGTGCATAGGAGCAATGAAGATGATCTCACTACTCAATGTCAAATTTGATTATCCCACAATGGGGACGATCTCACCACTCAATACCAACCCCTTCCAGCCTACCTCTTGTCCCCCCAGGGTGACTCCTTGACCACCATGTCAGAAGAAGAGGAACAGCAACCTGGCCCTGCCCCAGTGGAGGAGCAGCAGCAGCCCCAGGCCCAGGGTAAGGTAAGTGAAGGCTGGATTACTGCCAGGACTAGCTGGTCCAAAAAGCTGGAGCAGGGAGCAGGAAGGAGCAGCATCTCCATCTCCTCTGCCAGTCCTCTCCATCCTCCTTGGCAGGAGCTCTAGTTTCCCTATCAAGTGAGATCATATTTATAAAGCACTTAGCACATACTTAATAATGGCTTCTTTCTTCCTTTTTCCCTTCTCACTTAGAGCCACCTGCTCTTCTTCTACCAAATAGAGTCTTAAAAGCCCCTGCCCTACCTGGAATGGGGGTGGGGGTGGGGGTGGGGTGAGAATGAGTGAGGTGCTTGTTTTCAGCATCTGGGGATGTGTGGTGCTGGAGCTCTGAGCCTCTGACAACCCTGCCTTCTCCCCTCAGAACCTGGTGAGTAGAGTGGCCAGTCTGCCTCTGGTCAGCACGACCTATGCCAGGGCATCGGCACTATACAGCTCTATGAAGGAGAACCACCCATATCTGAACACTCTGTGTGGACTGGCTGAGCGCAGCCTTCAGGGCCTAACCACCAGAGCTGCCCAAGGGGCCCAGCCCATCCTCAGCCTGCTGGAGCCTCAGAGTGAGTGTCCTGGGAACAGGGCTCCTCCTGGGCACCTTCACTGATCTATCCCACTTTTCCGGGGGTATCTCTGGAATTTGACAGCCTCCATCAGCCCTCTCCTCTCCCTCTCCCACTGACCCTAGGGGTCCAGCTTTCTATGCCTGAGCATTGACTACTCAGGACCCCCCACAACAAGGTGTGTTTCTTTCCTTTCTTCCTCCTACTCTCCCTCCTCTCCTCCTTTCCTCCTCTCCTACTCTCTTCCTTTCCCTCTCCCCTTTTCTTCTCCTTTCTCCCCCTCTCTTCCTGCCCTCATCTTCACTCCCCATACCCAGACAACTGCTGGCCTGCTCACTTCTACACTTGTGTGCACACTCGGGCTCTGTCCACTTTTCTGACTTGTCCAAATCCCTGCCTCCTTTCTTTCTGCTCAGACCTCAGACCTGGCTGCCACAATTCATTCCCCTGAGCTGCCCTCATATAGCTCGTTCCCCTGCTTACTGGCCTGGGAGACAAGGCCCTCCTGACCATCCAGGCATGAATATACCCCCTGTGAGACGCAGCTGGGACTTAGAGTGGGGTGGGGTTGGGGGACCCCCAGCTGAGGTGAGGAGGAGAGCCTTAATAAGAAAGGGGTTTCTGGGGGAATAGAATCCGGGGCCCCATCAGGCAGCTGGCTACTGCTCACCGGTGACCTTCAACCTAGTTTGAGTGAGAAGTAGACATCACCTTGGCATTTGCAGTGACCTTCAGAGTCGGGCCCTGTGGGAGGGGGAGGCTTCGAGGGTCCGTTCTCAGCCGCAGCTCAGAGCGCCCCCTGGAGCATCTTCCGAAGCATAACTGGCTCCCACAGTACCTACTGCCCAGGCTTCACCAGCCCAGAAAGTGCCAGCACCTCAGCTCACCCCTTCCCTAGAGGGCCTCTGCATCTCTTGTCTTTCAGACTTTGAATATCTCTTGGAGTCTCTGTGTATCTGTCTCTGTCTCTTTTTTTAAACTACAAATCTGTCTCTGTGCCGATTTAAACTCGACAAACATTTAATCATCTACTCTGTGTCAGATTCTACTTCTCCTACCTGTTCTTCGTCCCTCTGTCTTCTGGCCATTCCCTACTCAGTCTGCCAAGCTGGAGAAGGAACTTGAACTCAGGCAACAGGGAGACACAAAAGATTTTTTGAGAAGGAAAATGACACGGTCAATTTGTGAATTAGAAAGGTAATTTTGAGACTAGATAGTTCTGTGTGCAATGATATCTCTTTTGGGGCAGTTCACCGTGGAACTAATTCAAAAGATGTAATTTTGTTGTATCTATGAATTACTGGTGATCATTTCACTGCTCCAATATCAATGTCATGGGGCAGTGGAGAAAAAAAAAACCAAGCCTTTATTAAGCACCTACTAAGTGCCAGTCATCTGCTAAGCACTTTACCTCACAGCAACCCTGAGAGGTAGGTGCTATTTTTTACATTTGAGGAAACTGAAGCAAACAGAGGTTCTTAAATGACTTGGCCAGAGTCACATAGCTAATAAGTATCTGAGGCCAGATTTTGAAGTTAGTTCTTCCTGTCTCCAGGCTCTCTCCTCTGCACCACCAGCTGCCTGAGTACTGCATCTGAATTCACAAGAGCCAAGTTCAAAATCCAAGGTCTAATCACCTGTGTGACCTTAGACAAGTTCCTTCCCCTCTCTGGGCTAGTTCCCTCCTCATCTATAGAAAAAAAGGGTTGGGTTGGATGATCTTTTAAGGTCCTTTCCAGTGCTAAAGTCTGGATTCTATGAAATAATTCCCCTAAACAGGTCAAACTCACCAGGAGATTCTATAATAGACATGTTATCCATTCGTCCAGTCTTGCTATGACTTTTTTTGTAGTTCATTTTGTTTGTAGAGCCCAAGCTTGGGAAGCTGAAACAGAGAAGAAAAGTGGGTCAATGCCATTCCGAGCAGAGTCAGTGATTCAGAGTTAATGCTCAGAGACATCCTTAGAATTTACTTCCTCTGGTCTGTATGTCTCTCTGTCTGCCTCCACTTCTTTCTCCAACTCTGAGTCTATATCTCAGTTTCTCAGTGTGTACAGAGGAAAGTGTCTGTCTCTTTGTCTCTTCTCTTTCTGACTCTTTAAACAGAGTTGTGCCTAGCCTTCTTTGTCCCTGGAGACAAGTGGCAAGACATGTGCCTTGCAATCAGCTTTCTTTGCTTTTCCTTTCTTTGTCTGTCTCTTCTTTTCGTTTAAGTTTCCTTTTTTCACCAAGTATGGGTATAATGCAGTGGCCATTCACATGCTCCATCACATTATTGACCAACTCCGTTTCTGAACAGGCCTGGTTTGCCCTTCATGGGGTGGGCTGGTGACCCCCACTCCCGGGGACTCCCCATCCTGGTATCAGCCTTAGTGTACACACTCAAACAGTTTAGCTTGCTGCAGCTCAGAACTCCCAAGTTCCCACCCACCCACCAGCCTCAGCCTCCCCAGTCATAGGGGTTACAAGTGTATACAACCACCACCACTCTCCACTGCACCTCCAATCAACACTTTAAAGATCACTCCATTGCAAGGGAGGGGAAAAAGACTACCCCCTTGTGGACAAAAAGAGATCTTGGGCTCCAGGACACAAAGGGTAATGGGGAACAGGGTGGGTTAGAGAGGATGCTGTTACCAGATAACTGTCAATTTTAACCAATTAGGTTTTCTTTTAAAACTAGATGCTAGGCTCAATTGTTTCTAACTGCCAACGGAGTACAAGCGCTTTCCTCTAAATTCTTCTAAAAGCTACAGCTACCCTGCCCTCATTCCAGCTCTATGAATGTGCGTGACTTGGTATATGTCTCTCCCTGAGTGTATGTGTCTGTCTCTCCAGTTACTTCAATGAATGAATATGCCTGCAAGGGCCTGGACAAGCTGGAGGAGAAGTTGCCCTTCCTCCGACAGCCCTCTCAGGAGGTATGCTGGGACACATAGGGAGGTGTTGTACCGAGTAGAGAAGGTGGGACACAAGAGAGGGCAGGGTATGAAGACAGGATTGGTGGAGCTCCTATGGTGATGCGGCAGTTAATGTGGAGTCTTTGTGCTGAGGAGAGCCTAGACTAAACCCCATTCTGGGGCTAGGCTTCAGAGAAGTGCCACTTTTACCCATTGAAAACAAACACAAATTAATTTTGCTAATATGCATAAGGGGGAAAGGTGAAAGAGTCACTTCCCCCATTCAGGAGATGGGGAAGAGAAGGCAAGTGATTTCTCTGAGGTCCCATAGCACACAAGAGCTGGAAATGGGAGTCTTGACCTGCAACTTTTGGATCTGATGCAAGAATGAGAAGATGCTACAGGCTTAGAAATGGTAAGGGTGGGCAATTAATTGCCAGGACTTATAAGGAAAGAAACTCATGAGTCCTAACTCACAGCCCAGAATTTTGCAGTAGAGGTATCAAGGCAGAGGGCAGAAAGCCCCCTGGATTTTGAATCAGATCTGGATGCAGACTCAGGTTCTCCTATTTAACAACATTACCTGTATGATTTTGGCAAGCCACTAGACTGCCCTGACCCTTGCTTTCTTCATCTGCAGGGTGGGCTAAATGACCTTAAAGTCCCTTAGATCTCTAAATCCTGTGACCCTGGAGACCTTGGAACTGAAGAAAAAGGGAGGGAGTTATGGGCTAGTAGGGACTGGCAAGGGCTAGCAGAGAAGGAATCTTGGTTTCTAGCCAAAAATCCAGAGAAAGGAATAGAATAGCCTGTAGGTCCAGCATTAGAGGAGGGGGGAAGGAGAGAATCTGAGTTGCCAGGGTCTGGCAGGATCTCAAGCACTGCTCTCCTCCCAAGGTGGTGACATCAGCCAAGGACGCAGTAACCAGCAGTGTAACAGGAGTGGTGGGCCTGGCCCAGAAAGGTCGGCGATGGAGTGTGGATTTGACTCGGTCAGTTGTAACTAGTGGGGTAGACACAGTCATGGGCACCCGCATGGGACAGATGGTGACCAATGGTGTGGATGCCATCATGGGCAAGTCTGAAGAACTTATGGATCACTTCCTACCCATGACTGATGAGGAACTTGGTGAGATCCCAGCCTGGGCTAATTCCACCCCACCCTTCAGTACACGACTTGGAAATGATCAGGCAGAGGCAATAATAATAATAATGAGCTGGGCTGGATCCAGCACTGTCTGACACTAGGCAGGTCACTTCTCCTGACCCCTCAATGCCTCTGTTTCCCCATCTGTAAAATGAGAACAATACTATTTATACTCCCTTACCACACGGTGCTCATGAAGAAAGCCCTTTGTAAGCTTTAGGGTGCCTTATGAACACAAGCTATCATCATTGCTTGGCCCACATTATTTCTTTCGATCTTCATGGCATCTCTATGAGGTAGGTAGTACTGCTATCTTTCTCCTCTTTTCACAGATAAGGAATCTGAGGAGGGGTAGAATGATTCCCTCAGAGTCACACAGCTAGTAATTATTAGAGCCAAGATATGAACCTATGTCTCCCAAAGTTATATTCAGTGCTCTTTCCACTGAGCTCATAGGACCTTCAAATCACTGAATCATAGAATTATGAAAACTCTAGAACCTTGGAGCATAGGATATTAGAATTTGCTGTCAGAGCCAGAAGGGACCTAAAGGACCCTCTAGCTCAACCCTTTCTTTTTACAGGCAGGGAAACTGAGTCTAAAGGGAAGTGACTTGCCAAAGTCAAAAACTGGTCTCTTGGTTCCTAACAAAGGACCCAACCGTGTTCCATAAATAGTCAGAGCTCTGGACCCCCGAGGGATAGCATGAGGCCAGGGCCAGATGGGCAGCCTGCACATGCATGGGCTGGCACAGGAAGTTTCCATTTCCTCTCATTCCTCAGTGACCCTGAGGGATCTCCGTCAATCATAGGATCCCAGATCTGGAGCGGAAGGAACCTCAGAGGTCGTCTAGTTCAACCCCCTCATTTTATAGATGAGGAAATTGGCCCCAGGTAAATTAAATAGCTTATCAAATATTGAATAAGTAGTAAGCATTAGAGGCCAGATATGAATCCAGGTCCTCTGACTCAAGAGAGAAATACTGTGCAGTGCAGTGGAAAAGGCTAAAAATGAGGCTAGAAATGGGTATAGAACCCAGAGTTCTAGTCCCAGCTGTGGTACTAGCTTCTTGCATGATCCTGAGCAAGTCATTTCTCTCTGGGCCTCAGTTTCCTCATCTGTAAAATGACGCTGAGGGATGGAAGAGAAGAAGAAGAAGATCGTAGGAGTCTGAGAAGAGATAGAAATATAATGCAGAGGGAAGAATCTGGGCTGGGAGGCAGGAAACTTGGGTTCTAGTCCAGGCTCTAACTTGATATGTGACTTCAGGCAAGCCCCTTCTTCTGTCTTCACCTGCTATTTCTTTTTTGAGATGGGGAGATAATCCCTGTCTAAATTCCCTCCCAGCAGTGGTGTGAAGACTAACAGAGAGGGTTAACAGGGTTAACAGAATCGTAGGCTTATCAGATCTCAGAGTCTGGGATTCAGACTTCTGTAAACTATCAAGCAATTTACAAAAGGAAGGATGAAATACACACACAATGACAGCAGCATGAGCAAAGGCTTGGGAGTGGGAATAAGCAGGCCATCTCTGGAGAAACGAGTGAGGATCCCAGCTTATCTGAAGAAGAAGATTGATGTTGGAATTTGGGGTGATAATGGGACCATGAGTGCTAAGGTTAGATGTATGGCAAAAGTGGATTAAGAGAAAGAGGGCCTGGGTTCACATCCCAGCTCTGCCATTACCTAACTGTAACTCTGAGCAAGTCACTGTTCTTTTTGGACCTCAGTTTCCCCATATGTAAAATGAGAGGGTTGGACTAGATCTGACACAAGCCCAGGGCCAGCATTGCTGCTGCAACACTCCCTAGTATAACCAAACTAGATTAAAATGTGATTCAGAAATATTTAACAAAATAAATCAAATGCACTAGAACATAGATAATACGAAGGCATGGCTTTCTAATAGTGGCCTCTTTTTCTGAGTTTGATGCCTCTGGCCTAGGTGACCCCACTGGCCCAGGTGACCCCCCTGGCCTAGGTGACCCACTGGCCCAGGTGACCCCCCTGGCCTAGGTGGTTGCTGAAGACCCTTTCAGATAGTTCTAAGCACCATAACTATCATTTCTCCAACCTCACCTGTGCCGCCTTCTCCCTCCCCCATACCAAGGGCTTAGTCAACTCCCATGGTTTTCATGGGGGTGAAGGAGTATTACCCATCCCAGAGGGGACATTCCTAAACCACACTTTTTCTGGGCCACAGATGAGCTGGCTGCCGCAGCAGCTGAGGGTGGGGCTCTGGCCCCAGGGGAAGACCGGCACCAGACAAGCTACTTTGTTCGACTGGGATCGCTGTCATCTCGACTCCAACAGCGGGTGTACCAGCACTCACTGGGCAGACTCCGCCAGAAAAAGCACCAGGCCCAGGAATATTTCACCCAGCTACACGACACTCTGGAGATGGTAAGACTCCCCTCTCCTCATGATGCCTGCTCCTCCAAAGCTGCTCACCCCCACACAGTGAGAGTAGTAGCCCCACTTCACATCCCTACAGCCTCCTGCTCTCTCCTCCCTGATTTTAATATCCATGTATTTCAACCTCTCTCTGAGCCCATCAGTAAAATGATTAAACAAAGTGATTTCTAAGAGCCTTTCCAATAATCCTTCTCAAAGATGCTTTCAGAAAGGTCTCTGAGCTCCTTCTTATCCTGCCAGAGTCAATAAACATTTATTAAGTACCTACTATGTACCAGCCGCCATGTTAAGTGAGCACTGAAGATACAAGGAAAGGGAAAAGACAGTCTCTGCCCTCAGGAAGCCCACAATCTAATAGAGTAAATGTTATTCCTAGAGTCCCTCTATGCCTCAGCTTTGATGAGGGAGGAAATGTTTAGGTCTTAAAAAGGAATGTCGGGGGGGCAGCTAGGTGGCGCAGTGGAAAGAGCATCGGTCCTGGATTCAAGAGGACCTGAGTTTAAATCTGGCCTCAGACACACAACACTTATTAACTGTTACTTAACCCCATTGCCTAGCCAAAAAAAAAAAAAAAGAATGTCAGGCCTGAGGAACAGACTGGGGAGATGAGGATGTTTTTCCTGACCCCTGAAACTCGGGTCCCCCTCCTTAACTTTGAATAAGTATATATCTATGCCTGTATCTGCCTCCTTTTTTCTCTAGGTTGGCATTCAATGTTCCCTGGCCCTTAAATCTTTCGTCTCCTATCCCCAAGCTACTTTTCATCTATACTTTATACTATACTTACTATATTTTCATCTATACTTTTCATCTGTCATGATATTCACCTATCACTTTAACCAGGCCTGGCTCATCCTCACCTCTGAATTTTTGCTCACATCATTGCCTGACCTACAATGCCCTCCCCAGCCTATATCTGTTCTCTAAATCCTGGCCCTTCTTCAGACTCCCTAGAGGCTGGCCCCATGCTCACTCAGCCAGAATTGGGGGTGGAGGGTTGGGGGAGGACTTCGAACTTTAGTCCAGTTTGGTGGAAATACAGTGTGCGTCATGGAGAATACTGACAGCCATATTGTGGAGGGCTTTGAATGCCAGGTTAAGGAAAAGAAACACTCCCAGAGCCTTGTCCTTAGAGAGTTTAGGGGAAGCAGAAAGAAGAGATCAGGCCTTGGCCTCAGAGAGCTGACCTTTCTGGAAATAGAAGGTAGGAACCTGAAATTCCCACAGGTAACACTTTGGAGGTATTTGGGGGACTGCTCTTCCATTTTCCCCCTATACCCCAACACACCCTACAACTGTACCAGGATGGGTACAATAACTTACTTAGCCAAATGTGATCCATTCAGCTCAAGTAGGCAATACAGGCCAGAGGATTCAGCCTCCAGGAGGGGAGAAGAGAGCCACTCCTTTTGGGAAGAGTTCTCAGGGAAAGTTTCCTAGAGGCAGAGCTACAGATAGGTTCCTCCCTTGGGTACAACAACTCCCAGCACCCCCCTTTGGCCCCTTGTCCCCCAAATGTGGGACCCTAGTCCTGGTTCTCACTCCCCTTCCCCCCTCACTCCCTCTCCCTTGAAACAGATTCACCATATGAAGCATGGCTCCAATCACAACTTCCAGGGTGGGCAGGGAAGGCTGAAGCAGCTGTGGCAAGACTGGAGTCACCAGGATAAGGAATGCTACCAGAGCCAGGTAATGGGGTTCAGGGGCCCTAGACAGGCCATGACCACTGCCAGGGTACCTGCCTGGAAGTGTGAGTAGGACAGGAAGATTCCTGGCCCAACTGGGGTGACTCATTTTCCCTACGTAAGACAACTAGGTGACACAGTGGGTAGAATGTTGGACTGGAGTCAAGAAATCCTGAGTTCAAATGACCTCAGACACTTACTAGCTGTGCGACCCTGGGAAAGTCACATAACTGCTTTGTGCCTCAGTTTTCTCATCTGTAAAATGAGCTGGAGAAGGAAATGGCGAGCCACTCCAGTATTTTTGCCAAAAAACCCAAATGGGGTCAAGAGGAGTCAGACACAATTTAAATGACTGAACAAGAGGTGAATTAACTTGGAGAGAATGCCACATCCACACAAGGCAACCAGGGGTAGCTAAAGGACCGTGACTTGGAGGTGGAAGATCTCAGTTAGGCTTCTGACTTGGCTGTGTGACTTGGAGCAAGTCACTCAAATTCCCTGGGCCTGTTTCCTTAACTATCACATGAGGGGGTTAGACTAGAGTTCCTTTTCTGCTCTGAATCTTATGATCTTAAGAATCCCAGTCCTGACATTTATTAAACTGCCATCTGCATGAGGTCTGGGACTGTCTTCATTGACCTGACATCTTCCCTGCCTATGGGACATCCAGTTTGAGATGTCTAAAAAGCAATTGGTGACATATGACTCAGGAGAGAGGCTGGAGCTGAATTTATAGGTCTGGGAATTATTTGCATAGAAAGGATCACTGAATTCACACACACAAAAAAACCCAATGACATTACTGAGATAGTAAGGAAAAGAGCAGGAAAGAGCCTTAGGGATTACCCATAGTTAGCGGAGTTGACGTGGATGAAGAACCAGCAAGGGAAACTGAGGAAGATTTGGTTGAGCAGATAAGAGGAGAACCAAGCGAGAGAAAGCAGTGTCATGAAAACTAGAGAGGGTGGGGCAGCTAGGTGGCACAGTAGATAGAGCTCCAGTCTTGAGTCAGGAGGACCTGAGTTCAAATCTCGCCTCAGACACATGACACTTACTAGCTGTGTAACCCTGGGCAAGTCACTTAACCCTGACTGCCTCATCAAAAAGCAAAAAAACAAAAAACACACAAAAAAAAAAACTAGAGAGGAGAGCACATCCAGGAGGAAATTGTAATCAACCTGGGGAAATGCTGAAGAGATGTCAAGAAGACCGTTTGATTTGACAATGAAGATACTGGTAAATTTGGAAAGAGCAATTTCTGCTGAATGATGAGATCAGAAGCCAGAATGCAGAGGGTTTAGACAGAATGAGAAGAGAGGAAGTGGAAGCACCCCAGGTAGATGGCTTTATCAAGGAGTTTACCTAGTCGAAAAGAAAAACAAGTATAGGATGATAAGCTATCAGGGATGATAAGATCAAGTGAGAATTTTTAAGGATGAGAGAGATATGGGGATGTTTGTAGACAGCTGGGAAGCACAAGGAGAGGTGAAGGTAAGAGAGTGAGAAGCGACCAGGAGTCACAGACACTACATTGTGGTAAATGCCATCATGCCCAGGAGGATCAGCAATGGACCTACCCCCAGGACTAGACTTCCTCCTTTAAGAAAAAGGATAGAAATGGAATTTCCCATAGCACAGCTTCAAACCTGGCAGTGGGATAGCCTGGTGCTCTTTCTGTTGGGAATACAGGACAGTGGAGTTCTATTCAGCAAGTATTTATCAGGTAGACAAAAAATATGATCCAGTCCCCTGCTTTCAAGGAGCTCATAGTAGGGAGGCTAAGACATGTACACAAAGATATGTGATAAAAGGCATAATGTGATAGGGATAGAGGGAAAGTCCAGACAAAATTCTATGAGTAAAGAGTTAAGGAAGAAGGCTTGTTCCAGGCATAGGAACAGAGCCATAGATATCTAAGGATTTCATCAAAGAAGATGAAATCAAGCCCAGGGCAAGCAGCTGAGCAGAGGTGAATGGGTCATAGTTGGGGGGTGCAGAGCAGATTGGGACTGAAAGAAACATAGCTGCTAGAGAGACTACATCAGTGGGGGCTCAGGGAAGAGCCTTAACCAGCATGGCATCTGCTCATTTTCTATTCTAACTAGTAAGTCTTGCTAACCAGGTGCCGAGCTCTGTTTCTGTACAGAGGAAAAATCTGGTGCTCCTAGATTTGGCAAAGCCCCAGACCCCAGTCCTTAGTTATAGCCTGTACAGTTACAGTTATAGCTGTAAGAATGCATGGAGGGAGAAGGTAGCAGATGGAATTCAAGGAATAGCTCTCTAGTCCACTTTGGTTGGAACACCGAGTGTGTGAAGGGGAGGAAGGAAAAATATGGCTAGAAAGTCAGATTGGAGCCAGATTATGAAGGGCCTTGTACATCAAGTTAAGTCTTTAACTAACCCTCTAGGCAGTAGGGAGCCATTAAAGGTTCTTGAGCCGCAGAGTGACCAGCTAAGACCTTTGCTTTAGGAAAATGAATGTGGACTATGGAGGGCAGGTTGGCAAGGGCAAAACTAGAGGCAGACAGACTGTTACAGTAGTCCAGGTGAGAGGGGTTAAGGATCTAAACTAGGATGGTTGCAGAGGTAATAATGAAGAGGGAACAGATTTGAGAGGCCATTTACTCCAACTTATTACTATATTAAAATATATAATATATTGTTAATAATATAATATAATGTTATGTAATATTATATTATAATAATAAAATATATTACATTAAAATTCATGATAATATATTATTATATTAAAATAAATAATATACTTTATTTTGCATGTGAGGAAACTAAGGTCCGTGGAGATAAAAAAAACTTTCCTGAGATTATACAGCTAGTATACAACACTGGGTCTGGTGTCAGGAGAGACTTTGTTTCAAATAAAGTGAACAAATCACTCAATCTCCCTGAGCCTCAGTTTCCTAATCTATAAGATGGAGATAATACCAATAGTTGCTGCTGTTCAGTCATATCTGACTCTTCATGACCCCATTTTGGTGTTTTCTTGGCAAAAATACCAAGGATGTTTGCCATTTCCTTCCCCATCTCATTTTTTACAGATGAGGAACTGGGGTAAACAGGGTTAGATGACTTGCCCAGGGTCACACAGCTACTAGGTGTCTGAAGCAGGATTTGAACTCAGGAAGATGAGTCTTCCTGACTCCAGGCCTGGTGCCAGAGATACAAACAGAAAACTCAGACAGTCCCTGCCCTCATGAAATTCACATTCTACTGGGGGAGACAGTACTTTGGGGAGTTTTCAGCATTAAGTCAAATGGAAAGGTCCCATGATCCTTAGGATATAGCTGCAAAGCAGATGAGAATTCCTCTCTTTTAATGTCATCTCCATCTGATCCAGGTGCATTTCTATCAAGGAAACAGAATGGTGAATTGGTCCAGAGAGGACTTCCAATAGAAAAAATGAAGGGGGATGATTTATCCATAAGTACAGCCCTTCCCAAATGTTGAGTGGGACAGGGTTGGGAGTGAGGTAGGCAGGGGGACAAAAGAGGAAATCTAATGAGTAAATGTGAAGTCCTACCCTTGAGTTCAAAAAATCATCAGTAGTGACTCTGGGCAAGTCACTTAACCCCAAATGCCTTGCAAAAAGAAAAAAAAATCATCAGTAGAAGTTTAGGATGGGGAGCAAGTGTGGCTAAAGAGCAACTGAAGTAAGAGAGATCTGGGCAACTTAGCACATTGCCTGCTCCTCATCATTCTGTAGTGTGAGCTACAGCCAGCAGAGTAGCTGACGTGCTCTGTGGCTGTCCTGGGGCAGAAGTGTCCACAATAGGAGATGTCCTCTCCCCTGCGCACATGCTACCTGAAGAGCTGTGTTCCATGCTGGGCACCACATTGTAAGAACCACATTGACAGTCTGAAGCACATTGACAGGATAATAACCAGAATGCTGTGCAGACAGGCAGCTATATATTGCAGAGGGGTGGAACCCACATGCTTCCTGGGGACAGCCAGTAGGACTCCCCAGCACAGCCCAAACCAGGTTAAAATGGAATTGGGAAATACTTAACCAAATAAAAATATTAAATAAAATATTTAACAAAATAAAATATAAAATAAAAACATAGATAGCATTACAGTTTAAAACTAGTCAATATGCAGTCAATAGGGATCCTTTATGTATGAATTAGTGGCTCTGTTTTCATCTGAGATTGATACCACTGGAGTTAATGGATTTGGAATCAGGAAGACCTGAGTCCAAATCCTGCCTCAGATACTTACTAATTGTGTGACCCTGGACAAGTCACTTAACCTGTGTCAGCCTCAGTCTCCTCATCTGTAAACTAGGGATAATAATAGCACTGCCTCCCACCCCTAGTGGTTGTGAGGATCACATGAAGTCATGTGTAAAGTGCTTTTTGCAAACTTTCAAGTGCTGTACAAATGCTAGCTTTCATTATTACAGCTAGCTGAAACTGAAGACTAGGCCCTAATGAGGACTCGATGAAATAACAGGGAATGTTCAGCCTGGGGAGGGGAGTAGGAAGGGGAAGAGGAGGGAGGAGATAATGCCACACCTGACATCGTGTGGAAGGGGGATAAAAGTGCTAATTAGGAATGATGAAGGGGGAGACGGCGAATGCTGAGAGGCAGACTACTGCTCAACCAAAGGAAAGATGCTTTAACAATGAGAACTGACCCAAAGTGGAATGAGTTGCCTCAAGAGGATGGTGAGTTTTCCATCACTAGATATCTTTAAGCAGAGACTGGGTGATAACATGTCTAAGAGGAGGTAGCCTAGATTCCTATTCACATATATTTGGGACTAATTCCCTCCTGGGACTTTTTGTGATACCTAGCCAAGTTCTTGCTTCTTTCTCCAGGTAGAATCGCAGACTCTGGACCTGTCCCGAGACCTAACTCAGGAGCTGCAGGCCACATGTGAGACGCTGGCAGCTAGCGTGCAGGGGTTGCCGCTGGCCGTCCAGGCAAAGGTGCTGGAGGTCCAGCAGAGTGTGGAGGAGCTGCATCAGGCCTTCTCGGCCGCCCGCTCCTTCCATGATCTGCCACCGGCATTTCTGGCAAAGGGCCGGGGCCACATGGCGCAGGCCCACACGACCGTGGATGAGCTACTGGATTTTGTCCTACAGAGCATCCCCCTGCCCTGGCTGGTGGGGCCCTTCTCACCCTTAATAGTGGAACGGCCCTGCACCCCACAGGAACTGATAGACCAGGTCGATGAGGTGGTGGTAGGCAGAAGGTCCAGCCTGCTGGAGGACCGTTGGGCCAATATGGATTGGGTCGCCCAACAAGAAGCCTGGCGAGCTGCTCAGGAGGCCGCCATGGCAGAGGAAGTCGAACCACCCAGGATCCCCAGCCAGGAGGTCAAGAAGGCAACAATAATGCCTGAGCTAGACTTCTGAGCAGTCTTCCCCTCTTGACCAATGAACAAATATCAGCTGCTGGGCAAGTTTATGGTCAAGCATCCCCCTCTCCTCAGCCCTGCCTGTCCTCTAAGGGCCTCTCCCAAGGGACAGGGGTCCTGAAGCCCTGTCTTTGCCAACCAGAACCTGATTGCTTGGGCCTCTCTTTGAGCCTTTGGGAAGGAAAGGGAGTACTCAGGACAGTGCAAATGGAGAGAACCAGTCTGAGCTTAAAGTTAGAGGGAATGCTCAGAGAAGAGGTGGGGGCTGAATATATAAACCTGAGGTTGATCTGTACATAGGTGAAAATGGAAGCCAAGAGCTTCCAATGAAGTCGCCTGGGGAGGGAAAGTCAAGTGAGGATGGCTGAGGACAGAACCCTGGGGAAGAGAAGGAAGGAAGCATCCACAGCCCATGAATTAGAAATGTCTTTTCTTCCTCAGGAGTGATGGTTCAGGTGTTCTTTCTAAGGTGGGGAAAACAGTCTCTGCAGCTATTGGTCAGTGATTTAAAGTTCTTTTTTCTAGACTGTGTGGTAAGTGGGGTAAGACTGTGGGAAGGGAGGGAGGGAGGAAGGGAGGGAAGAAAGAAGAAGGAAGGAAGGAAGGAAGGAAGGAAGGAAGGAAGGAAGGAAGGAAGGAAGGAAGGAAGGAAGGAAGGAAGGAAGGAAGGAAGGAAAAAGCCTAGATTTGGAGCTGAAAAGAAGAGAAGAAGGGATGAGGAGAGGGAGGGACATAGTTCCTGCCCCCCCCCAAAGCTACTGATTTGGGGCAGGGAGTGTGGGGAGATGATTTCCAGGAACCAGTCTCTATTGCTGCCTTGACTCCATTCAGATGATAGTGATGTAGCCTCTGCCTTCAGGAGGGAGGGCCCACCAACTCTGGGAATAATGCATCTTCCAAGACTTCAGACTAAGTTAACCTTGCAGTGGCCCTCCCTTCATATCAACATCCTTCTCCCTCTTCTAACCTTCACCTGAGTTTGAGATACTAAAAACAGGCTGACCCCAGGCCCAGCCCAAGATGGAGGTTGGGTGGGGGGCGGTAAGGTGAGAAAGCACACTGGGACAACTGGGAGGGAGTGCAAAACTGTATGTGGTTGGTTTTCTGGACTGCCTCTGAATAAAGTTGATTTTATGTTGGTTGAAGGCCAGTTTGGGTTTCTGACTCCTCAGCCTCCTCTTCTAGGGCCAATGCACTGGAGTAATCTCAAGGAGGTGGGGTATTGCAGTACACAGTAGCCAGGACAGCCTGCTTGGGAGGGGTGCAAGTTTGAGCTGAGCCTTTAGAGTGGGAGGGCTTGGAGAGGGGCAGAGGAAGGGAAAGCAGAGGCCCAGGCAGGTTGTAGCCCAGTGGAGGTAAACACAGCTCTGTTCTAACTCTGTCCCATATATCCATCCCACCTAAAAAAAATGGGATTTGGAAATTCATAAGACATTCCAGGTGGCATTTGGAGTATAATTTAGAGGTGGATGGAACCTCAGAAACCATCTACAGATAGGAACATTTAAGGCCCAGAGAGGTTAGATGATTAGCTCTAGATCACACAGGAAGTCAATGGCAGAGATGGGATTTGAATTCAGGTCCTCTGACTCAAGGTCCAGAGTCTTACTGCTCAATGTACTGGATTTGGAATCAGAGGACCTGGGTTCAAATGTCAGATCTGCCATTTTCAACCTGTGTGATTTAACCTCTCTGACTCCCATCTTCTTCATCGTTACCATTCTATAAAATGAAGGATTTGAACTAAGCACTCTGCCAGAACTGATGATTCTGTAACTGAGTTGTAATTAGAAAGAGGGGACTGGAAAGACATCTGTCTGGAAAATAATAACAATAGCTAGCATATATATATATATATATATATATATATATAATACACACGCACATACATAATATATATCCAGCCTTGCAAAGTACATTACATGTTCTCTCATATGACCTTCACAACAATCCTAAGGTAGGTCCTATTATTATCATTCCCATTTTCACAGATGAGGAAACTGAGGCTGATGCAGGTTAAGTGACTTGCCCAGGCTCACACAACTAGTAAGTGTCAGAGTCAGGATTCTAATGTCCTTCCTGAATCCAAGCCTCGTGCTCTAATTACTATGCTACTATTTGGTGACCTCATGAGGAAGCTCTGCCAACGTGCCCCAGGGCCCCGATGGAGGGATGTAGGTTCACATCACCTCTTGTTCTCTTCCCTTTTTCCTCTCAAGGAGGCTGGAGAACTGGCCACTAAGGGGCCTGAGCTGCCATGAACACCAACTCTTCTGCCCAGGACCTAGGGGAAAATCCACCTGACCCAATCTTGGCTCCTGACACTGACTCACTGTGTGACCTTGGGCGAGCCCCCTTCCCCTCTCTAGCTGTTGTTTTCCTCACCTGTGAAGTGTTGAAATAAGGCACCTCCTTGGCCTCCATCCTAGGACTGTTGTGAAGGTCACAGGATGTTATGGGCAGGCAAAGGTTGTATAAATGGTGGTGTCCTCTTCCCTTGAAGTCCCATGCTGATGTTTCATCTCAGTGGGGAGGTGACCCTGGACTCTCAAAGGCCCTGTCCCTCCACATCTCCACCTCCTGGCTTTCCTGGCTCCTTCCAAGCCCCAGATAAAGTCAGCCTTTTCCAACCCTCTTAATTCTAGTGCCTTTCCCTCTATTGACTATTTCCTATTTATCCTGTATATAACTTGTTTGTATATGGTTGTCTGTCTGTTGTCTCCCCATTAGGCTGTGACCTCCTTGAGAGAAGGAACTGTCTTTTGCCTTCCTTCATATACCCAGAGCTTAGCGCAGTGCCTGGCACATGGTAGGGAGAAGAGGGGAGGGGAGGGTAGATAAGGGAAGGAGAGAGGAGGGAAGGAGGAAAGGGAAGGTCTGAGATGAGCAGAGCTTCATTAAGTTTGGTGAAGTGCACCTGTGGGAGTCACTGAATCTCTGTAAGCCTCATTTTACTTATCTGTAAAAGAAAGGGCTTGAACTAGATGGCCCCTAAGGTACCTGCCTTCCAGCTCAAAATCTAGGCTCCCTAAAATCCTCTGATCACCAAGTTGTCCATGAAGGAGGAATTTGTTTTTCTATCAAAGTGACTCTCCAAAAACTATCTGCTAAGTTAGATCATGGCCTCGACTTGCTTCAGTGGAGCCCATACCAACAAAAGGAGAAATACCAGAAGTATTCAAGCAATGTCCTCTTGCATCCAAGGTAACATCAGTCCTGGAGTTTTTTACTATCAGGCCATGGGGCATTGGAGGATGCTCTCCTAGGGGTGAGGCAAGCCTGGGACCTGACAAACCAGAGAGAGAAAGCCAGGGAATATTTAAGAGGTGGGAAGGACTCTTAGAACCCGCACTATCAGAGCTGTGTAGGAACCTTAGAGACCATCTTTGTGTCATGGACCTTTTCTGGAAGTCTGGGGAAGTCTAGGGACCCCTTCTCAAAGACTTTTTAAATGCACAAAAAATACATAGGATTGCAAAAGAAACTAATTCTATTGAAATAAAGAGATCTTTTTTTTCCCCATTCAAGCTCATAGACCCTCTCAAATCTATCTATCAAACAAGGGGTCACTAGATGCCAGGTTTAGAACCCCTGATCTAGACCAATCCCCTCACTTTACAGAAGAATAAAAGGAGGCTCAGAGCAGGATATGCTTTCTCCAAAGTCACACAGCAGAGTTAATGGGACAAGGTTGTGGCTAATAATACTTTATAAACTTTAAAGTTCCTTTCCTGGACACAAGCCTGTGATCTATAAATAGAATCATCCCTATTCACAATAAGTTAAATTACAGAAGTTAAATTACAAATAAGTGTCAAATACTGAAGCTAGAAGGGCTCTTAGACTCCAATTTCTTTGTTTTACAGACAGGGAAAGTGAGGCCCAGAGAGGGGGAGTGACTTGCCCAGCCAGGGCTCTTTCTAATATACTAGGTTGTTCTCTAATCCTGAAAGGGAAAGAACCCCATTTGGGGGAGGGAAGGCAGATGGGTGCTCTGTAATTGAAGAGGCAGCTGTGGCAGCGAGGCAAGGTAATGTATGCTGTGGGAAGAGTACTGGGTTGGGAGTCAGAGGGCCTGGATTCAAATCCTGGCTCTGATACTATGGGTATGACATTGAGCAAGTCATTTCAATTCTCTGGGCCTCAGTTTCTTTACCTGCAAAATGAGGGGGTGGACTAGATGATCTCTAAGGTCCCTTCTAACTCAGAATCTGTGACTCATGACCTTCCCCCCATAAGAAATCGCCTTTCTGGGGCAGCTGGGTGGCGCAGTGGATAGCGCTCCAGCCTTGGAGTCAGGAGGGCCTGAGTTCAAATCTGGTCTCAGACACTTGACACTAGATGTGTGGACCCTGGGCAAGTCACTTAACCCCGATTGTCTCACAAAAAAAAAAATCGCCTTTCTGAGTCCTTGCTTTCCACAGACTTAGTGTCCATACCCACAAATCCAGGGAGGAGGTGATGCCTGAGTGGATCAAGCTGGACACCCCCTTCCCGTCACCCTTGGCAAGCCTTGGCCTTGCTGGGATGAGAGGAGAGGTTTGGCCTGGAATGGAGGGCAGGAGGGAAGGGGTGTGGAGAGATGGGGAATAATGACACTGAGCCTTAGACTGTTTAGCAAACAAGCTTGGAGGCAAGGAAACCAGGGCCTTTGAGGGTAGCTGCCCTCACCCCCAAGTCTGGGCACAATAGTGGACAGCCCCATCCCACCTCCCCACCCCCTGCCACCCAGACTCAGTATAAATCAGGCTCTGGAAACCACATGCCGTCTCACCCCAAAGATGGGACACTTGACATCTACCAGGGAGTCCCAGGGTGATTCACCCTCATTGTCCAGATGGAGGAGCCAAGACTGAAAACAAGTTGCCTGAAGTCACACCAGAAGTCAGTGGGTGAAGGTTCCCCTTTGGCCTCTCACATGCCCCAATTCTGTCCGTCCTATACCTCCCTGAAATGCCCCTCCCTGCCTCCTTCATGTCATACCTCTCCTTCAATGCGCAGGAAGTTCCTGACACTCCTCTGGTCCCAACTCTTTGTCTCTTCAGGGTAGCCTGGGATCATGAACTCTCTCTGCTTACCTGTGCAGCCTGGCTCCCTGGCTACACATGGGGAACTCGACTTAGTCTTCTGTTTCCAGCCACAGGGCAGCCAAGTGTAGGGCTGGACCCCCAAATATGTGAACTCTGTAATATTTGTTGACTGGCGCCTCTTTAATTGGTCACCAGGGCAACTCCCTCAGGCCAAAGCCTGCTGCTTCCTCAGTCTGGCACTCCCCCCACATACACATACATGTATATACACACCAGGGCCTCAGTAAGCCATAAGCCATTTTTGCAGGGGAGGGAACAGGAGGGTCTGGGCAGCCTCCGCTGGACTTCTCCTTTTCCCCACTTTTCCTTTGTGTTCTCCTCCACCAATATTCTCCATCCGATATTCTAAGATCTCTCCCAGCTCTGAAAGGCTGGGTCCTCTGTTCCAAGAGCCTCTCCAGCTGTTATTCCATATTTCAAAGTCCCTTGGGGCTCTGACATTTTTGTTCCATGTCCTAAGGGCCTATCCACCAAGCCAGGGGACCAGCTCCTTGGGGTCAGAGGGAGCAGCTGGAGAGAGTTCCAGGTCTCATTACTTGGACTAAGGGTCTCCTATATGTGACCCCCATAAAGTATCCCTATTAGCCAGCCCCACATTACACTATCCAGGAGCTTGCTAATTGCCTCCTCCACTCCAACTTGTTCTACCTTGGGTATGAATCTCACCTTGCCTGGTCCAGTTTATGGACCAGAAAAGGAAGGGACAGAATGAAGCCATCCAGGGCTTCTGGAGCAGATGGGGACCCCAAATCCCTGAGTTGTCCCACTGGGCTCCCCCTTGCCCTGGACACTGTTTCCCCTACCAATATGGTGAGTCACCTAGTGTTCTCACACAGTGTTCTCTCTGTCCCAGATGGCAAGGGAGGGATTGTGGAGGGTGGGAGTTGATAGTACCCTTCCCCCCATTCCTCCCTTCCTCCAAGGCCTCTGGGAATGGAACAAAGTGTCATCAGCTGGCCCTCCAGCTTGGGCGGGGCACAGAGCCCAGGATGGATGGGGGTGGGGAGGGGAAGAGGCAACATGTGACTGTCCCACTAGGCTTTGGGTACCTCCCCAGCCCAGATTTGCTCCTCCCTCCCACCTCAGCCTGTCAGGTGGCCTGCCTGCCCTCCCCCTTGCTATAAGGGTCAGGGTAGCTGCTAGAGGGTAGGTACACAGAGACTTTGGTCCAAGCTGGGAGACCACAGCTCCCACCCAGCAGATACCCTCTCTTTTGGGAGCAAAGAACCAACAACTTCCCAACTCAGTCCAGGTCAGTGAGCAGGGGCTCTGATTCCCTAAAGGCAGCATAGATATCTGTAACAGAAGGACTAGTATTGTGGGAACCTGCCCTATTAGCCTTTTCCACAGAAGAAGGGCTCAACAAGCCTGGGGCCTGACCGCCTGGCTGCTGGAATTATTCTGACTTCTTTGGTCTTACTCCCAGACATGGCAAAGGAAGATAAGGAAGGCTGGGAGGGAGGGGGTGGCAAGAAATGGTAGTGGTAAAGGAAGGAAGTCTTGGGGAGATAGGGCAGCCAGTTGGGGGGCACTGAGAGAGATGGGGCAGCAAGCTGTGGGAGGGCAGGTCTGAGGCAGATAACTGTGGGAGGGCAGGTCTGAAGGAGATGGGGCTGTGGGAAGGAAGAGAGGGCTCTGAAGGCTCACAGGCTTAATGTTGGAAGGAACTTTTGAGATCAACCAGTTCAAGCCCCTCATTTTAGGCTTGGGTTAGTAAGATGCCCCCAGAATACAGCCAGTGACAGACAAAGTAATAATTAAGATAAGATCCTGACCACAGAGTCTGATGCCCTTTCCATGGCACCACGGCCATTCTCTGTAAGGTGTTGAGGGGAAGTGGCAAAAGGATGTGTGTGACGGTGGGAGGCTCTCACTGCCCGGGTTCTGATCACTTTGTCTCCTCCCTCAGCTTCCCCAATATTACTATGTCGACTAGAGAGGAAGGAGCAGCAGCAGCCCCAAACCGGGGCCAAGAGACCAAGTCCAAGGTAGGCTGGGGAAGGAGGGTGTCCCTACCCCTCAGTGGCTGTTCCTCTACCCCACTGCATTCTGCTTATGGCATGATCTACACTAGCCCAAGGGAAGCCAGGGAATAAACTGGGATGGGGGAGGTGGGGAGAGGAACCAAGGGCCTACTTTGGGACTACTAGGGATGAGGATGAGATACCTAGAGGGAAAAGAGGGGGGAGGTGCTGGCTGATGATGTTAATATGTCATATCTGTTCAAAGCATGGCTTTTCTGGGGTTTTTTTTCACCCAATCCTAACAGCCCTGAGAGTCTGGAAGATCACCAGGGCAGGGGTTATTATCCCTGTATGATATACAAGGAAACTGAGGCCCAGGAAGAAACAATAACCCGCCCCACGGACACACACAGCAAGTTAGTGGTGCAGCCCAGAAGCAGACTAGAAGCCTGATCTCTTCCCTCTACCCAAGCTTTGTAGTCAGCCACCCAGTGGCCACAAAAAGGAGTGGGGCCAAGGGTAGTCCCAACCACCTTTCCCTGACTCGCCCCTTCTCTAAACCTATCTCCTCTCTTTGCAGACTCTGGGCAGTTTTCTAGGAAGCTTGCCCCTCTTTGGCTCGGCCCGAAACCTGTTTTCTTCTAGTTCATCAAAAGAGGCTCGTGGGGACATCAAGTCAGGGCCTAATGCCCAACACAGTGAGTGTGTGTTGGAAGGAAGGGGACCTATGGGACAGGGTAGGGCCTGGTAGCCCTCTGCTATAACAACAGCAACAATAATAATAATAGGCATATATAGCACTTCAAGATTTTCAAAATACTACACACATATTATTACATCATAAAAATTCTAGGAGGTAGGTGCTATTATTATTCCATTTTACAGATGAGGAAACTGAGGCAAAGAGGTCAAGTGATTTGTCACACAGCAAATAAGTGTCTAGGGCAGAATTTGAACTCAAGTCTGTCTGACTCCAAGGCCAACATTCTATTCACTGCCCCACCTAGCTACCTAGCATCCCATTGAGACTGAGGGCTTGATGCCAATCAAGCTTGTCTTAGGGAGTGATTCTCCCAATTTCCATCTCTAGAAGAGATTCATAGAATTACAGGAATTAGAGCTCATAGGAGTCTTAGGGGTTATCCAATCCAACTCTTGAATTTTACTGATGGGAAAACCGAAGCTCAGAGAGGCTGCTACTCTCCCAAAGCCACATGGGTAAGAAATAGCAGAGCAGACTAGAATCTTCTCCAAACCCTAAGGCTGCCCCTGGAAGCTGGTTTACTGCCAGCTTCCTCCCTCACCACACCAGCCCCTGAGGTCAACCTTTAGTATTCTATACAGATGTCATGTGGAATATGTGTGTGAGAGAAAGAGAGAGACAAAGATCAGAAGAGGCTGGTAGAGAGCCTCGTTTTATCACTTAAGGAAGAAGGGGAAACTGAGGAATCTCTATCTGGACTGGGCCCCACTACTGAGTCCACCTTCCCCACCCCCCAGTCCTGGGGTTTTCCCTAGGTCAGCCTGAACTTCCTATGGTGCTTCTGGGAATGGTATCCTCATGTAAGAGAAGAGGGTGTTGGGGGGTGTGAGTAATTGGGTCAGATAGTGGGAGTTGAGGAAGATGTCAAAGGGGAGGAACCATAGTGGGAAGCTTCAGGAGGGTAGATTTGTGCTTAACATAAAGGCGGGGAGCTTCCTAACAGTTAGTGCTGTCCAAAATTGGAATGGGCTGCCCCAGGATAGTGAGCCCTCCATCATGGAGATCTTCAAGCAGAGGCTGGGTGACAATCCAAGTGGATATAGGAATTACTGATCAGGCACAGATTGAACGAAATTATTTCTAAGGTCACTTGTAACTCTAAGATTCTGTGAAATAATCCTAGTGCCAGGCCAGAGACATCCCCTCCCCCCCTTTGTTCCCCTACCACCCCCCCACCACAACCATCTGAGGACTGGCCCCTGAGCCTCGGCTATCTGACTCCTGTTCCACATACCTCAGCTAGGGATGTCGCAGCTGCCAATTCAGAGCACAGGGTGAGCTGGCAGCAGGGAGAGGAGCCGCCCACTGGCTCCCTGCCCCTGGAGGTTCAGTACCAAAGGGGGATTCGAGGGGGGCTCTGGGATGCCACCTACTACTCTGAACCTTTGAGCTTCCACCCTGACACAGCTAGAAAGCTGTGACCAGTAAATGGCCGCAAATGTTCAGACAGAACCAGGCCCTCTGAGGGTCAAGGAAACCCCGTAATGGGTCACTAAGGGGAGACGGATGTCGTGCCCTGAGAGGGTAGCCACAATACCACTTCCTGTAAACCCCCTCCCAGGGGCCCCATCAGAGCCCAAAGCCAGGGAGAGTGGAGGGAGAAGGGAACACTCTGATGGGTTAAGTTTCTGTGTCCTTACTTCAAGGACAGCATGTTACACAAAATGAAAAACCTCCTCCACCCCTAAGCCTCATTTTCCAGGCATACTTCACCGTCAGTGCCACTCCAACTCTTCCCACCTAATCCCTCAGCCCCCACCCATTCTTGTGGTCTCCTGTCCTTTTAGGATTTATTGGAAGTTGGTGAGGGGGCAAAAAGGGTAAGAGGGAAGGACTGGACTTTCAGAGAGGTTCCTGGCATAGCCAAAGCCCTTGGTGATTGTTGGGGACTCCTTATCCCCAACTCAGGTGAAGTGGGGACATGTGGGGTTGGGGTGGGATGCTCCATGGGCCTGGGCAGACACTACCCCTCTGGTCATGGAGACTCAGCCCTAGTTTAACCAGATGTGGGCTGGCAGGTTGGATATGGTCAGAGGAAACAAACAGCATAACATCTTCATTGGGGTCTGGTCTATACCTGTTTGGACTGGAATGGCCACTCAGGTCTCTGATGGCTGAGCACACCTGACTGTGTGCACTGGTCTCTGATCTCCGGAGCTGGATAGTATCCAAGCACTGCCTACTGGATTCACAAGTGGGTGTGCCATGGTGCTTTGTCTGTCCTGCACTCTAGCCCCAATTCCCACGTCTCCTAATTCATCTTCACCTTCTAGATACCCTTCCTCTGGTCTCTAAGCATCTTGTCTCCCCAGGTTCCACTGTAGATGAGCACACCTCTGAAAGCCTGGCCAGGTTGGAGGAGAAACCACCAGGAAAGGTGAGAAGGGTGAAAGACCCAAAGACGTAATACAGTGATCCCTGGATGTGTGCACGGGGAATAAGCTAGTCCCTGGGGACTTTGTGAATGGTAGTGAATAACAGCATACTTGCCACCAGATTAATCTTCCATGAATATTGTTTTCCTCATGTGATTCCCCATTCAAACTCTCCATGGCTCCTCATTCCCTCCAGGTTCATTACCTGAGCTTGGCATAATCTGGACCCTTTCTCCTTGAATGTTCTATAGACATTACTAGTTGGGCCACTTATTGGACCTAGGCAGACGTGGTCTTGAATGATTAGCCATCTTTACCTACACATAAACTTCATGGGCCTAATTTGATATGGAGCTCTCCAAGGTTAGAACCCAGGTCTTCTCCTTCTCTAGTCTTTCCCATAGCGTAGCCAGTCACAGAGCCCAACTTTTAATCAGTACTTGCTAAATACTTACAGGTAGAATAATTGATTGAATGGACATCCTTACCACTTTTCCCTAGGGGGAACTCAAAATAAACATGAAAGTAACAATGTCCCTTACATGGTTAAGCAGTCTCCCAAATCCCCTGACCAGGTGAAGAGATAGGGCTAAAAGTAGGGTGGACTGCATCAGGAAAAAGTGAAATCCCCTTCTCTGGAAGTTTTCAAGTGAAGGCTGGATGACCATTGGTCAGGGTAGTTGGAAAGGGAATTCTTATTCAGGTATGGGTGAGATGATTCGAGGACCACTGATGTCCATTCCAACTCTGAGATGTTATTATTATTCCATAAAAAATAACATAGTAATTGAGGGTAAAGGAAGAAATGAAATGAGACTTTCCAAGCCCTTCCCTGACCTCCAATCTCTCTGTCCACCAGGAAATGTCTGAGGCAAAGGAGGTATGCTCAAAGGTGACTGGGAAAAAGGACACAGTCACTCCTGGGATGGCCAATATGGTGGATATGGCCAAAGGCATGGTTCAAGGGGGTCTGGATTCGACCAAATCAATTGTGAGCAGCACCAAGAACACCATCTGCAAGGGAGTCACTGGTGCTATGGAAACAGCAAAAGGGGCCACCCAGGCTATTGCAACAGGAGCCATTGAGGGAGGTGTGAACACTGCAAAAACAGCTGTGTCTGGAACTAAAGACTTTGTGTGCAGTGGAGTAACAAGTGCAGTGAATGTGGCCAAAGGAACTGTTCAGAGTGGCACAGATACTACAAAAAACATAGCAACTGGCACAAAGGATACTGTTTGTGCTGGAGTCACTACAGCAGTCAATGTGGCCAAAGGAGTTGTTCAGGGAGGTCTAGACAACACAAAGTCAGTTGTGACTGGAACCAAGGACACTGTCGTCAGTGGAGTCACTGGTGCAGTGAATGTGGCCAAAGGAGCAGTTCAGGGAGGTCTAGACATCTCAAAATCAGTGTTAGGTGGAACCAAGGACACTGTCCTAACTGGTGTCACCAGTGCCACAAACATAACCAAGGGAGCCCTCCAAACAGGCTTGGACACCACACAAAAAATAGCAACAAGCACTAAGGATACTGTCTGCACAGGAGTCACAGGTGCAGTGAATGTGGCCAAAGGAGCTGTTCAGGGAGGTCTAGACACTACAAAGTCAGTTGTGACTGGAACTAAGGACAGTGTTCTTGGTGGCATGACTGGTGCCATGAATGTGGCCAAAGGAGCTGTCCAGAGTGGCTTAAATACTACACAAAACATAGCAACTGGCACTAAGGACACTGTTTGCACTGGAGTCACTGGTGCAGTGAATGTGGCCAAAGGAGTTGTCCAAGGAGGTTTGGACACCTCAAAATCAGTGTTAGGTGGAACCAAGGACACTGTCTTGACTGGTGTCACTGGAGCCACAAAAGTAGCCAAGGGAGCCCTCCAGACTGGCTTGGACACCACACAAAAAATTGCAACAGGCACTAAGGACACTGTTTGCACTGGAGTCACTGGTGCCATGAATGTGGCCAAAGGAGCTGTTCAGGGAGGTCTAGACACCACAAAGTCAGTTGTGACTGGAACCAAGGAGACTGTTTGCAGTGGTTTGACTGGAGCCATGAATGTGGCCAAAGGAGCTGTCCAGAGTGGCTTGGATGCTACAAAAAACATAGCAACTGGTACTAAAGACACTGTCTGCAGTGGTATGACTGGCACAGTGAATGTGGCCAAAGGAGCTATCCAGGGAGGTCTGAACACCTCAAAATCAGTCTTAGATGGAACCAAGGACACTGTCTTAACTGGTGTGACTGGTGCCACAAATGTAGCTAAGGGAGCCCTCCAAACAGGCTTGGACACCACACAAAAAATTGCAACAGGCACTAAAGACACTGTTTGCACTGGAGTTACTGGTGCCATGAATGTGGCCAAAGGAGCTGTTCAGGGAGGTTTGGACACCACAAAGTCAGTTCTGACTGGAACCAAGGACACTGTCGTCAGTGGAGTCACTGGTGCAGTGAATGTGGCCAAAGGAGCAGTTCAGGGAGGTCTAGACATCTCAAAATCAGTGTTAGGTGGAACCAAGGACACTGTCCTAACTGGTGTCACCAGTGCCACAAACATAACCAAGGGAGCCCTCCAAACAGGCTTGGACACCACACAAAAAGTAGCAACAAGCACTAAGGATACTGTCTGCACAGGAGTCACAGGTGCAGTGAATGTGGCCAAAGGAGCTGTTCAGGGAGGTCTAGACACTACAAAGTCAGTTGTGACTGGAACTAAGGACAGTGTTCTTGGTGCATGACTGGTGCCAGTGCAATGTGGCCAAGGAGCTGTCCAGAGTGGCTTAAATACTACACAAAACATAGCAACTGGCACTAAGGACACTGTTTGCACTGGAGTCACTGGTGCAGTGAATGTGGCCAAAGGAGTTCAGGAGGTTGGACACCTCAAAATCAGTGTTAGGTGGAACCAAGGACACTGCCTGACTGGTGTCACTGGAGCCACAAAATAGCCAAGGGAGCCCTCCAGACTGGCTTGGACACCACACAAAAAATTGCAACAAGCACTAAGGACACTGTTTGCACTGGAGTCACTGGTGCATGAATGTGGCCAAAGGAGCTGTTCAGGGAGGTCTAGACACCACAAAGTCAGTTGTGACTGGAACCAAGGAGACTGTTTGCAGTGGTTTGACTGGAGCCATGAATGTGGCCAAAGGAGCTGTCCAGAGTGGCTTGGATGCTACAAAAAACATAGCAACTGGTACTAAAGACACTGTCTGCAGTGGTATGACTGGCACAGTGAATGTGGCCAAAGGAGCTATCCAGGGAGGTCTGAACACCTCAAAATCAGTTTTAGGTGGAACCAAGGACACTGTCTTGACTGGTGTGACTGGTGCCACAAATGTAGCCAAGGGAGCCCTCCAGACTGGCTTGGACACCACACAAAAAATTGCAACAGGCACTAAAGACACTGTTTGCACTGGGGTCACTGGTGCCATGAATGTGGCCAAAGGAGCTGTCCAGGGAGGTCTAGACACCACAAAGTCAGTTGTGACTGGAACCAAGGACACTGTTCTCAGCAGCATGACTGGTGCAGCAAAAATGGCCAAAGGAGCTATCCAGAGTGGCTTAGATACTACACAAAACATAGCAACTGGTACTAAAGACACTGTCTGCAGTGGTATGACTGGCACAGTGAATGTAGCCAAAGGAGTTATCCAGGGAGGTCTAGACACCTCAAAATCAGTCTTAGGTGGAACCAAGGACACTGTTTTCACTGGAGTCACTGGTGCCATGAATGTGGCCAAAGGAGCTGTCCAGAGTGGCTTGGATGCTACACAAAACATAGCAGCTGGCACTAAGAACACTGTTTACACTGGAGTCACTGGTGCCATGAATGTGGCCAAAGGAGCTGTCCAAGGAGGTCTGGACACCACAAAGTCAGTTCTGACTGGAACTAAGGACAATGCTCTCAGTGGCATGATTGGTGCAGCAAAAATGGCCAAAGGAGCTGTCCAGAGTGGCTTGGATGCCACACAAAACATAGCAGCTGGCACTAAGGACACTGTTTGCACTGGAGTCACTGGTGCCATGAATGTGGCCAAAGGAGCTGTCCAGGGAGGTCTACACACCTCAAGATCAGTTTTAGGTGGAACCAAGGACACTGTCTTGACTGGTGTGACTGGTGCCACAAATGTAGCCAAGGGAGCCCTCCAGACTGGCTTGGATACCACACAAAAAATAGCAACAGGCACTAAGGCCACTGTTTGCACTGGAGTCACTGGTGCAGTGAATGTGGCCAAAGGAGCTGTTCAGGGAGGTCTAGACACCACAAAGTCAGTTGTGACTGGAACCAAGGAGACTGTTTGCAGTGGTTTGACTGGAGCCATGAATGTGGCCAAAGGAGCTGCCCAGACTGGCTTGGATGCTACACAAAATACAGCAACTGGCACTAAGGACACTGTCTACGGTGGCATGACTGGCACAGTGAATGTAGCCAAAGGAGTTATCTGGGGAGGTCTAGACACCTCAAAATCAGTCTTAGGTGGAACCAAGGACACTGTTTACAGTGGTTTGACTAGTGCCATGAATGTGGCCAAAGGAGCTGTCCAGAGTGGCTTGGATGCTACACAAAATATAGCAACTGGCACTAAGGATGCTTTGCACACTGGAGTCACTGGTGCAGTGAATGTGACTGAAAGAGTTATCCAGGGAGGTCTAGACACCACAAAATCCATTGTGACTGGAACCAAGGACTCCCTCTGCAGTGGGGTGACTGGTGCAGTGCACATGGCCAAAGGGACCATTCAGACTGGTTTGGACAACACTCAATCAGTCACCTCTGTCAACAAAGATGCTCTGTCCAGAGAAGTCTCCAGTGCAGCATACCTGGCAAAAAAAGCTGTCCATGAAAGTCTGGAAAACACCACAGTAGCCAAAACAGGCACTAAGGGCCTGGCGTCCAGCGTGATGGATTTTGCTAAAGGGATCATTCAGGGAGAAGCAAATGCACCTGACAGCCCCAGCCTAGGTGACGAGACTGGTGTCACCCATGTGGTGGTGGGCAACATGGAAACCCCAGTGCACAAAACAAGGGAACAGTTGGCTGGCTTCCTCCCCATGAATGAAGAAGAACAAGGTAAGTCAATGTCTTGAAGAAGACAGACAAGTTAGAGAACAAACAGGGAGATGAGGTAGGTTTCAGTCTTCACCCTCCATTCCACTTGCCCTACTCCAATCTTGGGTTACTCCCCCAGCACTGAATCTAGCTGCCCATCACCTTTCAGTGTTTGACTCCTGATTCCTAGAGAACCTCAGTCCCCTGCTTTGAAGGGTTGCTTCTGGGGCTCTTACCTGATCTCTCAAGATCAACCCTAACCTCTTCCTTCACTCAGCACCTTCAACTTCATTCTAGCTAATAGAAGGAACTTCCATATTTCAATAAAAAAGCATCTCGGAAGGACTCAAGGTGAAAACATGTTTAAAACATAATTCCCAGTTTGTGATGACTTCAGTGTAGAAAGTCTGTTAACAAAAGGCTATTTTGTCATTACTGTTATTTTGGTTACTAATTGTTGCATATTATCCTACAGATACACTGTAAGCTCCCTGAGGGCAGGAATTTTCCTTCCATGCCTAGCACACAGGAAATGCTTACTAAATAATAAAACAAGAAAAGGAAAGGGGGCTTAGAAGACCCAAGGACCTCCCCAGATTTATTCCTCCCCCCATTTTCTTTCCTCCAGCTCAGCTAGCTGCCTCTGATCTTGGGCCAAAGGTGATGTTCACAGACCAGAAGAACTACTTTGTGCAACTGGGAAACCTGTCCACCAGCCTGCGCCAGAGGGCCTACGAGCACACCCTAAATAAACTGCAGCAGAGCAAGGAGCAGGCCTGGGGGACTTTGGCCCAGTTGCAGGAGACCCTCACACTGGTAGGAAAACCCTTCTCCAGCTCCCAAACCTTCTTGTCCCTCCTTCAGCTGCACTTACATCGCTAGATCAGCTCACCCTAAGGTCAAGCTACTTTAGCCAGGATTAGTAGACCTTTACCTTCACCACATCACCTTTTTCCTCTACAGATCTCAAAGAGCTTCACATATAAGCCTATGTATCACCTCCACTCACCCCCTCCATCCACAGGCAAAGATGGTAGAACCGAGGACACTGTCTTAACTGATGTGACTGGTGCCACAAATGTAGCCAAGGGAGCCCTCCAGACTGGCTTGGATACCACACAAAAAATAACAACAGGCACTAAGGCCACTGTTTGCACTGGAGTCACTGGTGCCATGAATGTGGCCAAAAGAGTTGTCCAAGGAGGTTTGGACACCTCAAAACCAGTCTTAGGTGGAATCAAGGGATGAAATGCCTTTGCTGTCCTTCCATCTCCCTTTCTGTGCTCCTCTCAACCTGTCGCCCCCTCTCCAACCTCTACCTATCCAAAGAGCCCTCCAGCCTCACTCCAACCTCAATGCCATACCTCTTCCAGCCCCCATCAAGTGCCCTGAGCTCCAAAACTTTTCTTCATCCTTTCCCTAACTTCTCATTTCCTCGGTCCTGGGATTTCAACTAGGTAGTAGAATAACAATCTAATCCACATTACTCTGGGGGATGAATGACATCCCTTCAAATGGTACTTGTATTTTTTTTAAGGCTATTGAATCTGAGTGGGATTTTGGACATCCCTGGAAGAAAGGGGACATCCCTGAGTTCTTCAAGTTACACTACATACAGTTCTGGTCCAAAATCTGGCCTATATAAAATCTAGAGTGTGCCTTATTATAACTGTTATTTTTCAAGATATAACTATATTATTGGGTGGTTTTGTTTTGTTTTTTTCTTTCAAATATCTTCAGAGTATGGGAAGCGAACATTTACACTAATACCGTTAGAAACCCCATACCACAAGAGTGACCCTATGGGGTAGCCATTGCTGTGTACACAAATGGAGGATGACCTTTGATGAAGTCAAAAAGTCAGGTCTCCAGACCAGCTCCTCTGCCTAATATAATGAACTCTAGATTTGGACCCAGACTCACAACCCCTGTCTGGCCCTCGGTTTCCTCACCTATAAAATTATTCCAACTGAGCTTTAAAATCCTGTGCCCCTAAGGGTTCTATGAGCTCCTAGCTACCCTGGCTTGAGAAGGACCCCCATTTCATTTTGCTCTTTCAGATTGAAGAGGTCAAACGGGACACAGAGGAGAGCCATGCTTGCGAAGAGGGAAGAATGTTCCAGCAGCAAGGGCTGGGCTGGAGGCAGTGCCAGGAGGAATCTGAACAAACAGAGGTACGGTGGCAGCCACCTCCTGCCCAGGGCGGGTGGAAGGGAGGACTTGAGCGTTAATCTGTCTCCCCTGCTCACTTTTCTCCTCCTTCTGCAGCTACCAGAGTCCAGGCTTCTCCCCAGGGCTCGAAGCCTCGTCCAAGAGCTCCATGCCAGCTACGGGGCCCTGGCCACCAGCCTCCAGGGCCTCCCCACTGAGTTTCAGCAGGGGGTTCGGCGGGCACGCCACAGCGTCGGAGAGCTTCATGGCCTCCTTGCCGTTGCTCGCTCCTTCGGGGACTTGTCTGCCACTGAGCTCGCCCAGAGTCGTGAGAGCCTGAACCAGACATGGCAGGGGCTAGAGGGGCTGATGGTGGGCCTGGAGCATGAGCCCCCACTCACCTGGCTGATGGGGCCCTTCACCCTGAGTATGGAGTAGAATGCCAGGAAGAGCCCCCAAGCGCTGAGCTTGGGAGTAACCCCATGCTGTGCTTGAAGGACTGCCTGACCTTCCCTGAATCTCATTCCTTCCAGAATCCTCCCCACCCCCTCACCCTCAAAGGCCTTCCTTCTTCCTTGGCTAGCTGCCCAGGGCCTGGCTCTGCCCCACTACAGGATGAAGCTGAGGTCTGGGCTCAAGTCAGGGCAACGCTGGCACAAGGGAGCAGCTGCTGGAGAGAATGCCCTCCCAAGCTAAACTTAGCCTGAGCTAAGCTCCCAGCACATGGGCTTGCCTCCATGCTCCTTCCCATCCTTCTCCTCACAAATATCTCACAGGCTCCTTTTAGGCACCAGGGCACTCCCCTGCAGCCCTGGCCTTTTCCATGCAGCCCCTTCCCTAGGAGCTGGGGGTGAAAAGAACAAGTCAGAAAATTCTGGTCTGATGTCTCAGAAACACACACTTTGAGGGGGCTTCATCTAGCTCAGCCTCTACCCTTTCACACTGCCCCTGACAAGGAGTCCTTCTGCCTCTATTGACGCCCCCAAGGACAGGAAGTCCTACGTCCCTAGGCAACCCATTCCACTTCTGGATGTCTCCTATTGCTAGGAACTTTGCATGAGATCTCCTAACAAGAAGCCTTTGGGATCAAGAAGTCAGCTGGGTGCAAGGTGAGGGAGAGAGGGCCCCTTAGGCTCTGGTATCTATGCAGAGATGAAGCCACCTCCCAGGTTCCAGTTAGCTTGGGCTTCCAGGTGATGAAAAATAGTGATAGTGCACATTTGTACAGCATCTTCCACTTTACAAAGCACTTTACATACATTATCTCCTTATGACAACCCTGTGAGGCAGACTATAATTACCACCCCCATTTTAAAGAAACTAGGGGTCACAGAAGGTATCATACCCAAGATTAGACAAGGAGTTATATAGCAGGGCTGAGATTAGAAGCCAGGTTCTGACTCTAAATCCAGTGCTTTCCTCTATGCCATGTTCTCTCTCACGTGTCCCTCCACTTCCCATGGCTAGGCCCAGGTAAGAACTCAGGCTCCAAACTGCAGCTCCAAGGGCAGGGTGAGAATCACAGAACTGTGCAGTTGGAAGGGAACTTGGTGTCCATCTAGTCCAACTCATGCCTGAGAAACAATCCTCATTAGGGGTCGCTCAACCTCTGCTTAAAGACCTCCAGTGTAGGTCTCTTCCAAAACATTCAAAATAATCCCTGAACTTCAACCACTTACAAGAGCATGGCTTTGACGACACCCTTCCTGAGGGGCTGGAGAATCATCACAGAGGGTCCCTAACCTCCTTGGTCCTGGCTGGCATGAATTCCACTCTTCCCATCTCCTCCAGGCTGCCTAGTCAGATTTCTCAGTCTCTGTCCTGTGAACTTGTGCCCTAGGGCTACAAAATGAGTGGTGAGGCCATCCACATTCACAGTCACTTAAACAGATTTTGCCTACCAGGTAAGGGATGTGCTTTAGGTACTAGGTTAGAAAAGAACCTGTTCCCTTCCATACCCCTCACCCTATTTATTCTGCTTACTGCTTAGCATCTCAAGCTCACACCCCCCACCATCCCTAACCTGGTATGTAACCCTGGAGGTGAAATCCTGCCCAGGAAGCTCCCTCTTCTGATTGGCCCCATTCTTCTACATATCAATGGCATAAACCAGACCTCTGCAACAGGGACTCCAAGAGCTGAATGAACTGAATCCCAGAGTGGGATCCAGAACCGACAAGCGACAGATATGTTTAACCTTCCCTTAGGGGAAGGGTCCTCCTGGAGAAAGAAGAGCCATCCCAGCTTTGTGCTAATAACTTGCATTTTCCCAATTCCAACATCCCCTCTGGGGGACCCTACTGGACTAGCTGCAATGTCTATAGACAGAGAAGCTCCATCGACTTTCTCTGCTAAATCTTCAAACATTGCTCAGGCCACAGGCAGCTACCAGAGTAGAATGCTGCTGCCCTGGGCCCCATTAAGTTGTCCCATTAACAAGAACAGAAGCACCTTTTAACAAATCAGTTCTGTTGAGCCTAACCTCAGTGTCCCCTTCAGGGAGATGGATTTTAGGCAACTCGTCTTCCTGCTTCCAGGGCTACTGAGGAGATAAAAAGGATCTGGTTAAATCCTCTGAGCTCCTGAGAGATGGACAGGAGAATCTGCCATCTAAAGCCATGTTTACCTACTAGGTATCTGGAGCCAGATGGGATGTAAGAAAATTGGCACAACACAGTTAGGGAAATTTGCACCTTGCACAAATGAAGTTACATCAACCAGCAGGTGGTGCTGCTTGGGTAGGGTTGATTCTTCATCTGTGCCCTTCAAATAAAAGGCAGTGGATAGCCTCACACACATCTTCTATGTGGCAGGGCTTAATATTTTTCTTTTTCTGCCCCAACATACCCACTCTCCAACTTCAAGCCTGGCAAAATGGCCCTAAGTTAGGGCCTGTCATTAGCAGACCCCTCTGCCCCCATAGATCCCATGGCAATCAAACCTCCAACCCAGCTAAATCCTCATTATGGATCTGGCTCCCAGAAAATGACTTCCTGCAGTAGTATGGAATTCCTTCACTGAGCCCCAGGCCCCCTCACCCACCACGGGCAGGAGGAAGAACAGCTGAAAGGAACTACCTGCCACAAGCCTTCCGGGCCTAGGTTACAAACCCAAGCTGGCGTCCAGGGCTGCGAAGAGGAGCCCCTGGCTCGGGCCGTGCGTCCTGCCAAGTGTCGTGACCCCAGATCTCTGCAGTACAGGCACCTCCACCTCCACCTGGTGGACAGGAAACAGCTCCAGTCTTTACATCGAGGGGCCCAATGTCCCCTCAGCATCTGGCTCCAAGAGCCTCAGGGCTCACAACAGCAGCCCTCCCAGGCCTAATCTCCCCCTTTAATACTAAAGCACGATGGCCTGGGACTCCACCTGTCCAGCCAACCTCCACCTGAAAAGCAAGGCTGAGTCCAAGATCAATGGTTCGTGCTCTGCATGTCCCATGCAGCCTGGTCCCTGAGATCTCCCCAAAGGCTGACATTGGCTGGCCCGGCCACAGGGCTGTTCAGTGGGAGAAGATTCAAACCACAGCCTCATTTGAGCCATAAAGTTTAGATTTTTATTTTCTTTCTTCTTTTGTGTAAAGATGAACTTCTCCAGCTGTGAGCAGGGCCAGGGAATCCAAGCCCAATAGTCTCAGGCCACCAGATCACAGGCTCTTGTCCCCATTCTTCCTTCAGTCATCTCTGCCTGGTTCTAGGCCGGAAGCACTGCTGGTTCAAAGCTGCCGTTCACTGCGAATGGGGGGCTGTGCCGCTTCTCCTGTCCTGCACCAAACTGGCCATGCTCTCAGCTTCAGTCTCCACTGCAGCCAACAACATTAGAAAACCAAGCCAATAAAAATGAATTTTTTTTCATTAAAAAAACCCTTTATATTCATTTCATGTTGTTTTGAAATCACAGAAATTAGGTGAGGGAAAAAAAACCCAAGGGAACAAACACAACTGAAGAGCACAGCGTCCCCCAAAAGTTCTCGGCTTTCACAGGAGTCTGGGGACGGGAGGGGAACAAGACCTATACATCATCTACTGTGTAACTTAGTGAAGGGGCTCAAACCCAGGGCCAGGCAGAGGCCGGGAGCAGCACACCCCAGGCCCTCAGCTCTCCTCATCAAGGGACTCCGAGTCCATCCGAACCCTCTCTCTTTCCTGCCGGTCGTTCCCTGGCCTGTCCAGCTCTGGATCCTCTTGAATGTTGCTGGGGGGGAGCAAGATGGGAGAAGAGGGGTCAGATGTCAGTGGCCAAATCTAGACTCCAAAGACAATGCTGGAAGAGTAACTGCAGGTGATCAATGGGGCAGTGGTGGTAGGGAACATCCCTCCTTGTGCAGGGTCATTTACTCCTAGAAAGCAGATAAGCTACAGCAATAGTCAACAGCAGTCAGAAAGGCTACAGGCGAGCCAACTAAGTTTAAGTGACCTTCCCAAATAAATGAGGAGATGTCCAACCTTGAGTAACAGCAAAAAACTAGATCAACGGTTGTCCTGGGATCCACTCTTAACAAAGGCCCACCTAAGCAGCTTCTCTCTCCCCAGCAGGATCTTTTGACTCCCATCCCAGAGAAACAAATATGCTGAAAGCCTACCTAGAAGCTCACATTAAAGGAACTGGGTTCTAATTCTGGCTCTCTCTACTACTTGTGTGACCTTGGGCAAGTCATTTCCGTTCTCCAGATCTCAGGATCCCCCTCCTCATCTGTAAAGTGAGGGGATCCCTGAGGTCCCTCCTCTTAGAAGAAAACAATGACTTCACAATTCTTTTAAGCCATCTGACCGGGAGCAAGTTCACAGCAGTCCTAGACTCCAGGGCCCAAGATGGGGCCCAGTGAGAGCCTGGGTATACCACCACCTCCTTCCTTCTCTCCAGAGAAATCCATTTCCCTCTCTGACACCAGCAACCAATGACAATGCTCACTCGTTGTGCAGGTCTTCAGATGAGCCGCATCTTTGCCCCTCTCCCATATTCTGTCCTTCCTCTCGCTCTTTGTCCTCACCACTCTCCCCCTTCTGGGTTGTGGACTCACCATTCACCGGAGCGGCGAGATCTGAGCCGGAAGAGAGAGCCAAGAGAAACTTACTCCACACTGGACTGTTGGCGTGGTGCCTGCCCGCTCACCACAAAAACCAACGTCCGTCTGGTCACGCAAATGAGAACAAATCCCTTCATGGGTCTTTCTTGTACCTACCACAGAGAACTTGACAAATACATTTCAAACAGCTGGAAAACTAAACCATGGGGAAAAAAAACCGCTAAGGAACATGAATAGATCATTGACTAGCAAGAGAACTCGAATCATTCCACGCCACTGGACAGAAATTGCGAGTTTGTCCTGTTTGCAAGGTCCCCTTTACACTTTCTGTGCCCTGACCCAGTCCTACTGACTGACTTCTCTGCTCCTCAGGGTGAACACCATCTTCATCAGGCCACACTAAGAGCTTACTCAGTTTGGTGTAGGACAACAGAAGTGACACTGCCCCTACAAGTCTCCTTAGGAACATTCCTCAGATGCCCAGAGACCCCTAGACAGGAGCTTTCTCTGGTCTGTTTGGAGAAGTCACATTTCAAGTCATATTTTTTTCCTAAGAACATCAATGGTATAAAAGGATTTAGGAGTTCTAACTTCCCACATGCCTTAAAGGGAATGGGGGTCAAATCAGGCCATTGTCCCCTTACCAGCATTAGGCTCCTCCTCTATCTTCTCCTTGGGGGCCTCCCCTCCTGCCAACTGATCTTCACTCTTCTCCACCTCTGCTTGGACCTTCTCCAAGGCAGGTTTGTTAGTTTTCTGGTTTGCTTCAACCTTTGGTCCCAAGACCCTTGATTTGAGCCGAGTGTAGACTTCTGCTGCTTTCTCCATCACTTCCTGGTTGGCTTTATAACGGCGAATCTGGGTGCAAAATATCTCTCCTCAGGATGAGAAAAAAAACTCCAGTTCACCACACTCCCTTCCCTCAATCTGATTAATGCCTGCCATAGCCATTTCCACACTAAAATACAGTCACCTGGCTATGTGAAGGGACCTCATAATTTTGATTACATAAATTAAAAAGTTTTTGCATAAACAAAACCAATGTAGCCAAAATTAAAAGAAAAACAGGAAAATGGGAGGTAGGGTGGGATTTTACATTAAGTTTCTTTGATAAAGGCCTTATTTCTCAAATATATGGAGAACTAAGGCAAATTTCTAAGAATAAGAGCTATTCTCCAATTGATAAATGGTCAAAGGATATGAACAGACAGTTTTCAGAGGAAGAAATCAAAGCTACCAAACCATATGGAAAAAATGCCCTAACTCACTAATAATTAGAGAAATGCAAATTAAAACAACCCTGAGGTACTACCTCATATCCATCAGATTGGCTAAGATAACTGAAAAAGAAAATGACAAATGCTGAAAGGGATGTGGGAAAACAGGTACACTAATGCACTGCTGGTGAACTGGTCCAACCATTCTAGAGAACAATTTGGAACTATGCCCAAAGAGCTATAAAACTGAGCATACTCTTTGACCCAGAAATACTACTACTAGGTACGTACCCCAAAAGAAATCAAAGAAAAAGGAAAAGCAGCTCTTTTTGTGGTAGCAAAGAATTGAAAACTGAGGGGATACCTATCAACTGGGTAATGACTAAACAAATTATGGTATATGAATGTGATGGAATACCATTGTGCTATAAGAAATCATAAAGAGGATGATTTCAGAAAGATCTGGGAAAATTTATATGAACTGATGCAAAGGGAAGTCAGCACATCCAGAAGAACAATTTACACACTAACAGCAATACTGTAAAGATAATCAACTGTGAAAGACTTAATAACTCTGATCAGTACAATGACTCGCCACAATTCCAAACGATAAAAAATGCTATCTACCTCCAGATAGAGAACTAATGGACTCACAGAACAGATTAAAGCATATTTTTCTTTTCTTTTTCTTGTTTTTTTTAAACATGGTTAATGCATAAATATATTTTGCATGACTTCACATGGATAATGGGTATTGTATTTCTTGCCTTCTCAATGGGTGGGGAAGGCTTGCATAAAGAGGGAAAGAATTTGGAACTAAAAGTAAAATATAATTGAATTTTTAAAAAAAAGGACCTCAAAAGTCAGTCGTTCCCCCCCCCACTACAACAGACCCAAGTGGTCATCCAGCCTCCAAATAAGGACTTCCAAGCAGCTCACTATTGCCTGAGACAGCCCATGCTACTTCTGGACAACTCTGTTCAGAAGTTTTTCCTCCATGTTCAGTTGACATTTGCTTCCCCATCATTTCTCCCCTCACTGCTTTTAGTTCTGCCCTCTGAATCAATCAGAACAAATATACTCTTTCACATGACAATCCTCCAGATATTTAACAATAATGATCACATCCCTCCCTAAGTTTTCTCCTCTACAGATTAAATACCTACAGTTCCTGCACCTGACCCTCAAATGGCACAAGTCCTCTGATTTGGGCAGAGGAAGGCACTAACCCTAAAGCCCTCTTCCTAAACACTCCATCTCTATGAGTGCCACCTGAAAAAAGGTAGCATTTTCAGCTGCTGCATAACATTGCTGATTTGTATCAAGCTTGCAGTCAATCCATGAAATTCCCCCAGGTATTTTCCACATTACTTGTTGCTACCCTAGCCATGTCTCTCCCACATACAACCGGTGCCACCCCACCCCTCTATTCTATACTTGACTTTTTAAACACAAGTGAAAGCCTTCAGTTTCTTTGTAGTTCCCTTCTACTAGAGCAATCACCCCCATAAAGTTGTGCTTCAGTCTTCACAGTAACTAAATCTGTCCTCGA